TTTGAATTAAAAAGCTCGCAGAAGCAAAATGACCTGACTCGAAACGAGGCATTGAGGTTTGTAAAGAAAAGAAAAGGACGGCGATCGAGCAGACGGAGCAGCTGGAGACTGGAGACGAGGAGAGGCAGAAAACAGTGGATTTCAGAAATACATCGAGGCAGCGTGGAAGCAATGGAAAAAAGAAACAAATCCAAACATATGCTCCTCACATTTCCCCTTATTAAGAGCTCAAAGAGGGGGTCGCTGCCCGGCACAGCTGCACACATGAAACCGGGCGCAGAGAGGCTGGACTCTGACAAAGGCGGGCTATTTCCAGGGTTCCCATAAATCTGCTGGACACTACATTTAAGTTCCTGTGTTTTCCCCCCTCTTATTTTAACCGGCTCTGTTGCAGCATTTCTTTTTTTTTCTCCCTCAAACACAAAAACACACACAGGAGGAGGTTCCAAATATTCCTGACCTCGGCCTCACCCTCACTCCGAGGAGAGAGACTGAGCGCTCTCCAAAGAAGACATGACGACGCCCTTAGTTACCGCTAACACCTCGCTCTGAACGCACCTCCTTCAGGAGCTTCCAGAAAGATTTACAGTACATCTATGAAAGTGTCTACCTTTAAATCATCCATCATTGAACCTCTTACTGATCTGCATTCACACCACTATTTCCTGAGTTAATGAGGCGTTAGAACTGCAGAGATAATCCTCATCAGTCTGACAGTGAAGGTGAATGTAGGGATGACCCTGCTAGTGTTGTTGTTGGGCTTAAGACCACTTTTTGAAGCATTCTGACTCGCTCTCAGACTGGGCGGACTCTGGATTTTAAATCAAGAACGGCCACCTCTGATTGGCTATTTTTCCACGTCATCACTGAGATTAGAAGGAAAACCCCTCTTTCTAAAAGAACAAAAAACTTCAATTTGTAGTTTGATTTTTATCCCCCGGTTAGGACCACAACCTTCCCGGTGTGACAGTCTAAGTGAGTGACACGCCCCCTAAACACAAGATGATGATTTATCAGTGATATTTATGGTCTTGGTCTTGGTCTTGGTCTTGGTCTCGGTCTCGGTCTCGTCTTGTCTTGGTCTTGTCTCGGAGCACTCTGGTCTCGGGTTTGTCTTTGTCTCGATTAGTGTGGTCTTGACTACAACACTAGACCCTGCTACACTTATTTAACCCTTCATTTTACACCAGGAAAACATTCTTTTCAGGAGAGTCTGGGCCGAGACTGCAGCATCAAAGTTTGAGACAGAAAACAAAAGACCGACGACAAACAGAATCCAAAGCGCTGAGCAGAGAAACACCTGCATCCAGCGGTCAAATGTCCCTCTGCACCTTTAAGAAAAAGCTAAAGACCCAGCTCTTTCATGAATACCTACTAACTTAATGATGATGGTCTCCATATTATTGATGATGATGATGGTAATGACGATGGTTTTTGTTTGATAACGACGACTTATAAGATGGTTTCTATACTGATTAGAGCTCTCAAGAACTGCCCTCAATGTTGTGCTTTGCCTCTGGTCACTTCCTGTCAGCACCTGTGTGTCCAATCAGACTCAAAGCTGATCATTTGCTCTTACTCACATTGTTCCCTTTTTTCTAGATCCTTGCTTGTGTTGTTCTTACTCTCTGATGTACGTCGCTTTGGATAAAAGAATCTGCTAAGTGAATTGTAGAAATGATCCTTTATCCTGGTACTCAAGGCTCTCAAAATACTTAAAAACTCCACTCAACACTCAAAAGAGAGAAAAAACAAGCACAAAGCACTAATGATCTGAATTAGAGAGGTGTGGATTCTTTCCTTTGTGAAGTAACATTGAAGCGAGGTTGTGTATTTATTTCCTGTGAGCTTGAGGTTAGAGTCTCATTTTGAAAGGTGTGATTTCTCATCGTATGGCCGAGCAGTAACACCTCAGAGAGAGGAGCGTGACAGAGTTCACACTTAGTGTGATGCAGAGCTTTTATAGAAAAGGTGTGTTGAACTGAACCCAAAACAAACTCATTAGATTTAAGTTGCTTAACGCTGACGAGAAGTCAAACATGACCCATCAACCCGGCCTAAAATTTTCTCAAACACAGCGTTTGTTTCTGGTGCTTATAATAAACTTATACACATTAAAATGTCTCAGGGAGTATTGCCAAAAAGTTATTTACTTCACGATTTAAAATACAGACAATTCCTGGGGCGCCGGTGACAGGCGAGGCAGGCAATGTCTCGGGGGCCCCAGACCAGGAGGGGCCAACAGAGCATCAGAGTCCACTACACTAATTTGTGTGTCTGAATTTCCTCTGTGTACATCGTGTAGTCGCCTAGCCTTCACTTTGTTCTGTGTTCATTTCAGATAGAAAAGAAATGTCTTAAACAAGCGGCTCATTTGTCAAACAGCAGCCAGACGAGGAGCGGGCTGTCAGGACAAAAGCAGGACTGACTGACTTCCTTTCTACTGGCCGATTTACGTCACAGGAACAAAAATCACCCAGAGCCGGGAGTGCTGGACAGAACAAACTGAATACAAAGAGCCCCCCCAACCCCCCCGCCCCAAACCCTCAGGCAGCGAGGCGACGGGGACGGGGAGGGTCTGCACCGGTCACTCTGTTCTGTTCTGAAAGTTTTGCTCGAGGCCTGAGGAGGAGACGCAGTGACAGAGGAGATCCCCCACTGTGGGAAAAAGAAAAGAAAAGACAGAGCAGAGAGTCCTGCTGTCACAGCTTTGTGTGTTAACTAATCAGAGGCGGCACGCTGAGAGGTTGTCACAGAGTCACAGCGGGGGGGAAACTGCTGCTCAGGCTGACTGAGCACTTCAGTCTGGTTGTCAGCTGGGTGGGCCCCGAGGGAGAGCGGAGCAAAGGCAGGAAAAAGACGAGTCATCTACGAGCAGGAAGACACCGGCTAGAGATCACTCAAAGAAGCAGGTGTGGAGAGAAGCTGCGGATGCTAAATAAAGGAAGAATTATATGAATGTGGAGAAGGAAAACCGACCGTATTCAGAAGGCTGGCATTTTCCTACGTCATCATAAAGCTGGGGAGGTCATACTGCTGTGTAAAACAAAGTAGAAGTGACCAAAACTTAACAAAAATACAACTATTTAAAATAAGACAGGCGGGTTGGAGAGGCTTGAATCCATCATAAATTGCAGGCCTCCTCCTGCACACTTATGGTGGACTCCGCTACAAGCTTCAAGTCTTGCCTCTGGAGAAAGGTTTCAAGAGCAGGCTAAACACTGAAGCTTCCGTTTCCACGACATGTCAACCCCCCGTGAGCAGAAACGTGCTCAAACTAGGATCAATATTGGAGATGCTTTTGAAAAATGGAGAGAGGTTAGAACACAGAAAGGTTTACAGACCCATGCAGAGCTGGATAAACACTGAAGCTTCAGAGTCCACCACATGGTGACCTGAGTGAGCATCCACTCTAAAGAGGGGGGGGGGGACAGCTCTCTATGATGTTTAGAATCTGGACTGCAGTACCCATTTTAAACACTAGGTGTCAGAGTTACATACTGCTCCTTTAAGACCACCATCTTAACGACCGCGCTCGTTTGAAAGCTGTAAAAACATTCAGTAAAATCTTACGTTATTCCAGATTTGGAAATGAGTAATTCTTTGATTTTGTGGCCTTCAGTGACGGTGAGACGTCACTCTGTGGAGTCACAGCTCTGCGTCAGTTCCTACCAAGTGACCTCATGGAGGATATCCCTCTCCTTTCGAGGCACAATGAGGCAGCTTCCTGTTTAGAGAAGGCCGAGTCCTGCCTCCACTCGTCCACCCTCGCCCTTACGTAATTCTCCACTTTGGTCTGCCAGCACCGAGTGAAAACAAGACGGTGATATTTATTCTTCAAATGTCGCCTAAAAGTGGAAAGAAGGCGTTTATTTTGAGCTGCAATTAATAATTCTGAGTCTTTTAAACGAAGGACAACTGAGAGTTATTGCTTTTATTCAGAGTATTTAAAAGTCCTGGCGTCTGTCTTTAGAGGGGAAACAGGACTTTAGATGATGCATTTGCTGTGCAAGAAAATGAAGGTTTTTAAAAGTGCGAGCTCAGAGATAATTACAAGTGAAGCAAGCGGTTAAAATGTTGAAATACCAAATATTTGCACTCTTAAAACTCTGAATTTATTACTCGAGGAGAGATTTTATATGTCGTCTTGCGCAACATTTCGATGAGTTCTTATAATTACCACAAACAAATAATTATTCAGAGTTTTTAAATGTTGCAACACGAGTCATTTAAGGGGAAAAAGGGAAATTTAAACAGCATGTTGCCCCAAAAAAGAGGACGTTTTTTAATGTGTGGGCTTGAAGATAATTACAAATGCTGTCAAGTGAAGCTCTTCAAATGTTGAAATACAGAATATTTAATGTATTTAATAATCTGGATTTACTTTTACATGAGCAAATGATTATTCAGGGTATTTTTATGTCACAACAGATGCTATCTGAGGGGATGTTTAAATGGCATGTTTGCACCCCAAAAAGGGAGTTTTTGATGTGTGGGCTCAAAGATAATTACAGATGAAGCAGATCTTTGGGGAGTTATTTTCTGAAATGTGGGATTTCTGGAGTGCAAAACAGACCCAGCTGCTCCCTCTCACAAATTACTATTTTTCCACTGACAAATTAACCTGTGGTTTTTTAAAGATTTCAGTGTGATGTTTCTCTTTTACTTGACTCTGGGAGGGAGCGAGAGGTTCCCACGTAATCTGACAAACCTGAAGAGCAACATGTGGACGTCATTACACGTTCAAAGCATATTAAATACACAAACGGATGAGGAGAAATAATAGACAAGTGTGCACCTCAGGGCAAACTGATAGAGCTCAAATCTCACTTTCTTCCTGTTTGAAGGACAAACACGCGAGCATTATCTGTCATCGAGCTCTAATCCTCCTGAGGGCAAATCAGAAACTAACTCGAGGGGTCAGACGAAGGGGGGGGGGGGGGGAATCGTTGAAGGGCAAACCCAACCCACTGCTGCGTGTTGAATCCTGCCCCGCTCCGTTCCCACTTCACACTCTCATGTCGCTGTGGTACAGAGACCCACCGAGTCCGAGTCCTCTCCACCTCTGCTCAAAGACTCACTGGATATTTACGTGTTTACAGGTGCGTGGGGGAAACTTTACAATGTTACTTTTTATTAACAAATGTGGTTCGTGCAGGTGCGTGAAATGTGTGTTTGCCTCTCCGTTAAAAAAAACAAAACATTTATCGTAACTTTAACGGATGCAGCGCCACTTTTAACTGCAATGTTTGACTTTATTCTGTTCATATTCCTTCTGATTATTTTTTACTAGATGAATCGTAAAGAAATCACACAGAAACATGATCAAAGGAAACATCTGTTTGAGTTGAATGAGCCGGTTTGCACTTTTAAAGCCGTGCGTAAATACGCACAGAAATGCGTAAAAACGATAAACACAATCAGGAATACTTCATTTATTTCTGTTTGGACATTTAGGCGTTGCAGTTGCTATAACACAGAATATGAACATGAAGAAGAAGAAGCCTTTAGGAAATGCATTTATCAAATATTTTGCGTGTTCGTTTTAGCAGTTTAACACCATTTTTTTTAAATAATGTTTTAAAAAGCGTGTTTGAATATTTACAGGATGGAATAAATAAAACGCAACAAATGTTCAGATTAAATCCCGGTTTAAACTTTGTATTTTATTTCTTATTAACCCTCTTTAATGTCTAATTTTTGAAACGCTCATATGTTTGATTCTGGAGGCTTCACTCTCATCTCTCATGCAGATATATTCGCTTACGTGTTTGCATCTTGATGGATTTAAAAATGTTTATTGATTAAACACTAGACTTCCTCTCTTAAATCCTCCAGTTTTCCACATTAACTTGTTTCTCCTCTGTTTCGTTCCAGGTTCGCGCTCATCGCCCTCTACTGGTCAACCAGGGGATTGAACAGATGTGATTTTTGGAAGACAATAATCACAGGAAGTTCCTTCTTCACAGCAGCAGAAGGAACATTTTGTCTTTTATTTTAGTTAAAGTTTTTAAGACTAAAATGCATCATCAGAGGACTAAATGACGCCTTCTCTGTGGATCTAATTCATTTCAAAGGTGATTTTTTTTTATTAAAAAGGGAGAAGTGACTTTTTTCTGGAAGCAAAAAAAAAAAAAGAAATGTCCACAGAGTCTTTACAAGCTGCCTACGCTGTCATGGCTCCGTCCGCCGTCCCGCTGCCCCCCTCCACAGGAAACCTGCTCCAGATGTTCCGCGCGTACCAGAGCAACGCGGTCATCATCGAGCACTACAACTACACGGGCAAGCTGAATAAGAACAAATACAAAGACGGGCTCTCCCCAGAGGGCATCGTCTTCCTGCTCGTCTGCCTCCTCATAGTCGCCGAGAACGCCGTGGTGCTCGTGGCGATCTGGAAGAACAAGAAGTTCCACTTGCCGATGTACTACCTGCTGGGAAATCTGACTTTGTCCGACCTGCTGGCGGGTTTCACCTACATGGTCAACATCATCATGTCGGGCGCCAACACCTTAAACATGACCCCGGTGATGTGGTTCCTCAGGGAGGGGGGCGTGTTCATCATGCTGGCGGCGTCCGTCATCAGCCTGCTCGCCATTGCCATCGAGCGCCACGTCACCATGGTGAGGATGAAGCCGTACCAAGGGGACAAACAGGGCCGGATGTTCGCTCTGATCGGGGCGAGCTGGGTTCTGTCGGTGCTCCTCGGGATCCTCCCGGTCCTCGGCTGGAACTGCATCGGCCAGCTGGACCGCTGCTCCACCGTCCTCCCGCTCTACGCCAAGAGCTACGTCCTCTTCTGCATCACCGTCTTCAGCGCCATCCTCATGTCCATCGTGGTGCTCTACGTGCGCATCTTCCGCATCGTCAAGTCCAACACGCATCGCCTCGCCTCGGTCCCCCAGCGCAAAGGCCTCTACAGGAAGTCGCAGAAGTACATGGCGCTGCTGAAGACGGTCACCATCGTCCTGGGAGTCTTCATCGCCTGCTGGCTGCCGCTCTTCATCTTCCTGCTGCTGGACTTCTGCTGCCCAGCCAAGAGCTGCGCCGTGCTCTTCAAGGCAGACTACTTCCTGGGCATGGCCATGCTGAACTCCCTCCTGAACCCGATCATCTACACGCTGACCAGCAAGGACATGAGGCGGGCGATCCTCCGGCTGCTCTGCCGGCGCTGCCTGCTCACCAAAGACGGCCAGGTGAAGAAGATCGGGATGCCCTTCCTCGAGTGCAGCACGAGTAAGACGGACGCCGCCTCGCACAGACTGGAGGGGGTGGAGACCACGGTGTCCTCGGGGAACTTCACCCCCTCCACCATCAAGGCCATTTACCCCCGAATGTCCAAAACGTGACACGGGCAACTCGCCCAACAAACTGAGAGCGAACACTCTGTTGGTGTTTCTTTATGAGCTGATCCAGTCACAGAACGTTTCCTGTCGCACTCTGCCACAGTTTTGGGTTTGAACCTTCATGCAGTGACGGATACAAAAACAGAAAAACCTCGGGCACAGACGTGAAAAAGTCCCCCCTTAACCCCCCCCCCACACACACATCTGAACCAAACTCCTGACACAAAATGGCATCAAACGGCACGACAGTTTCAGCTGTTTCATCTTTTATAGTTTTGTGTCTTTGTGTTGTTATTCTGTCACCGTCTATCATCATTAACCCTCATGCATCATTATGGACATTGTTGTCCATTTGGTCAAATGTTTCCTCTTCATCTGGTCATCATTTTGTCTGTTAGTGCATATGGCACACATTTTTTATAAGAAAGTCTCTCTTGACACATTGTGGAACGCACATTTTATTTTTTTAATAGATCAATAGAACACTGAAACATGTTCACTACCCTCAGAAGTCATTAAGGACAAAAATGTCCACTTCCAAAAACTGCTATAAAAATAGAAAAGATTGATATTTTTTTTCTACTTTTTTTGCATAAATCTAAAAAAGGGTTAAATTCCTAAAAATGATTGAATGTTTGGTAGTTTTGAGCAAGGCTGAAGTTGTTTAAGAGATTTATGCAGAAAAAAAGTAGAAAAAAAATATCAATTTGTTTTATTTTTATATCAGTGTTTTGGAAGTGGACATTTTTGCCCTTAATGACTTAAGAGGGTCGTAAATTAAACGGATGCCTGATGGTTAAGATCGTCTTCGTGGGCATTTTGCGTGGTTTTAAGTCTGTGTGAGGTCGTGCACGTCTCTTTGAAGTCCTCTTCGTGCATCTTTTATGGGATTTTTTAACTGCTTGACATTTTTAGCGTCTCTTTGTCTTCCTGTTGCATCTCCAGGTTTTTGTTGCGTCTCTTCAAATATTTTTTCAAATCAGTTTTTAGTAGTTTTGTGACTAGTCCCTCTCTGTCTCTCTTTGGAGTCGTTTAGTGAAAGTTTTGGATTCCTTGCATGTCTTTGTAGCTGTTTGGTGTCTTTTTGTCTTCACCCCCAGTTTTTACATCTCTTGTGGTAGTTTTGCTTCTTACCCGTGTCTCTTTGTCTCTGTGTTTCATGTCTTTGCAGATTGTTTTGTGTCTCTGTCTCATCTCTGTGCAACCCTTTGTGGTCATTTTGCATCGCTGCTGTTGTTCGGAGTGTTTTGAAACCTCTGTGGTGATTTGATTTGTTGCCAGTTTTTTTAAGGTCATGATGTGATAGAGCTACATGTGTAGTTTCTCTTTTAGGTTTCTTCTGTTGTCAGTTTGTGTCGGGTTGCGTTCAGGGGTTCCGGGCCAGAAGTTGTCAAAGACTCTGCAACATCTGAAACAACATTCATTTACAACATCAACTTCACAGCGTTGCATTTGTGTCAGGAGTTTGCATGTTTTTTGAATGTGCAGCGTTTCTGAGTATGCTGCTTGTTTTTCTAAATGTTTGTCGTCGAGCCTTTGACTCCTTCCGGCCTCCGTAAGGGGAGGCGGAGTCTGTGCACTAGAGTTTTCTGTGCATCTTTTCTAAATCTTAAACCGTGAAAGACTAAATGTGCCTCTATAGCATTTAGTGTCCTGTGGAAGAAAAAAAAAAGCATCTCATGTTTTTTTTAAGACCCTGATAATCAGACCACTTCTTGTCGGAGTTTATGCGTTTCCTCAAAGAACAAAATTGAATTTAAAAAATGTGCAAACAATTAGGACACGAGGATAAATCTCATGCAGCCCAGCAGCAGATTTATCCTCCTCCTGTCCTCTCCCTGTGAAGCGTATAATAATATGTTGTTACAAACACGGAGCATCCACACCCAAAAAGCTGCAGCCAAAACCAAGTAATTTCTGCCATGTGAGTTTTGGTCAGCTGCATTGTGGGTAGAGGTCTCCTCGCTGGAGATGAGAGGCTCAGCGGCACTGAGGACGCACGCGTCACAGCCCGGGGGAGAGGGGGCGGGGTTTGAGCCGAGCGGTTTGCAGCTTTGGAGGTCCTTTTGACAGATGTAGCAACACTTGATGAATGAGGAGCAGCAATTAAACCCGACAGGCGATGTTCTCTGACGTCTTATCGGTTTAACGAGTTCGAGTGATTCTCCACAGCTCGGCGGGGACAAACGTCACGGCCTGCAGAGCTTTCGATGTGGAGAAAGTTCATCTTTCATTCCAGTGAAAAAAAAGAGCCGATATCAAACTCCTCAAAGAGTGAGCGCTCCAAGGACTTGTTGGGAAATTAAATCAAAGGACAGTTTATCATTGAGATATGTTGTACATAAATGTAAAGATAAATAAAATCTATTTACTGATTTTTTTTAGCTACCTTGTAAATATAAATATTATCTTTTCTGAGCTGCAGTTTGTAAAAAAAAAAAACCTCACTTAAATTATGCTGCCAGTTTTATATGTGCACTGAATAAAAACATGTGAATGAAGTTTACACAGAGGTGTGTTTGTCAGTTACTTCCTGATCTACTCTCATGCATACACTGTGACGTCCCTGCAGGGGGCGCTGGAGTCCCATCGATGGCGGTCTCCATGCTGGAAATGCTGTCTCAGTCTAACTTTCAGTCAACCTAACGACAGGCTGAGAGCTGGAGCTGAGGCGGGTTTTAAACCTCCTGACAAACCGTTACACCGCGCCCACCTGTCAATCAGGTCAGCTACACGCCTTATTGTGAATAACTCTTATCCTTCATCAAATCAAAACTGATGAGTCATCAAAACATTCACCCCCCGTACAGTGTGTGTCCATCCAGACATGAGCTAATCACACCTATTTGTTTTTGAACCAGGCTGTAAACATGTTCATCTCTGCTGTAAAAACAGGCTTTTTAGAATGGGTGTGTATGTGACTTCCTGTGCTTCTGCAGCCAGCCTCTAGTGGACACTCCAGGAACTGCAGGATGTTACACTTCAGCATCGGCTTCATTTTTCAACATCGGAAGTTACTGCTTGGTTTCACGTGTCAGAAATGTTGCCGAAAAGTTTTCTATCTCTGATACAGTTTAAAATGTATCTGCTTAATATGAAAATAAAAAGATCTAAATATCTGTAAAGTAGTATCATCGAGCTATTAAACCTTAAAAATTCATTAATTAAGATTTGGTTAAATGCCTTTAAATTAAATTCAAACACTGTTATAACAATATATTGTCATAATTGCTTCACAAAATAAAACACTTTGTTTGAAGGTGTGACTCATGGGGGGGGGGGGGTAACTTTCCTTCCTCAGTTGTCAAAAGTATAACATGCATACTGAGGCTTTTAGTGTAAACACAATAAAGTCTGAGGTTTTAGATTAAGAGGTTTTTGTTACGTTTGGAGTTTAAAAAAAAAAAAAAAAAAAAACAACCTAAACCTCAAAACATCAAATAGAGTGATGATAGATTCATACAAAGACACACCGCATCTGCATGTGAGCCACGTGTCAACCACTGATATTTGGTGTGTGTGTGTGTCAGAGCTGCACATGAAGCTGCAGAAACAAACATACGCAGACGCTGTGTTTACCGTAAGGAAACCACACGGCGCTGCGTGGTTCTTCTCGGTTATCAAACCTGTGAGTAGGAGCTGGAGGTATCATCCTGCACGCTCTGAACCGACCACCACGCTCACACTGTGAGGGCACAGAAGAAGGTGGTAGAGGTTTCACTTCTCGGTAAAGCAGGCCCTACATTTAAACACACACACATCAGTGCAGTGCAGAGACTCAGTGTGGGCAGAATGAACGTCACCTGCAGCGACTTTAGACCTGACTCTACTTCATTCTGTCTGCAAGGTCTAGTCCATCCATCCATTATCTATACAGCTCAGTTCCCCTGTCATCATGTCATTGGGTGAGAGGTGGCGTTCATCCTTTACCTGGCCAGCCAATCACAGGTTCTGATATATAGAAACAAACAACCAGCACCACTCACATTCACACCTACGGACAATTTAGAGTCTCCAGTTAACCTAACGAGCATGTCTTTGGACTGTGGGAGGAAGCTGGAATACCCAGAGAGGTCTAAAACTAAAATAGATCTGCAGCGACATCTAGTGGCCAACACAACACCCAGCCTCGTCTACAAACAAACAGTAACATTCCTAATCACTAATGAACCTGAGCTGGGCTGCACACTCACATTATTTATGTATTTATGTCACTCCTGAAATGTGATTTTGAAGGCAGCTAAAGCTGTTTTTATGTTTGTCTTTTGAGTGTGATGAGAGGATCTCTGAGCTTGTAATGCAAGACACATTTCTGTGCAAACAGACAATAAAGTGTTATCTTATCTTAAGCAACAAAAAGTCCTCTAGAGTCCTTCTATCCCTTTTTCTTTCTGACCACATTTCTTTATTCTTCCCTGGATTTTGTTTTTGTTCAGTTTTTGGCAAAGTTCAATCACAGAGGGGGAGCTGGCAGACGCACACATATTGGATATCAACCGAACCAGCCCACTACTGAGTAAATTGCATATTCTGCACACAAAATTAGGGATGCAGCCCGCCTCTAGTGGACACTCAGGGAACTGCAGGATTTTGCACTTCAGTCTCTTTTTTTAACACCGGAGGTTGCCACTTGGTTAAATATGAAATGTTTGTTTTGTTATGTCTCGTCTCGTGGTATGAAATCTTGATGAGCTTTTGTTGTTGTTGATGTGTTGAACAGAAATCATCAATTTGTGTTTTTTTGAATCCATGTTACTGAAATACCACCAAAGAACAACTTCTTAACCAAATGTCAGAAATTTAATTAGAAAAACAATAAAAGTGTCAAAGAGAAGAAAAGGAAACAAACACGTTCACAGACTAACATAAATATTTTACACAGCACCGTGGACTTCACCACCACCACCATCCGTCATCTACCATTCGGTGCTGACGAAGCCCCACAGCTGGTCACTGACGTCGCTCCGAGATCGCACAGACGTGTCGATGTTGATGGGCGTGGCTAAATCTGCACCGTAATGAACTGCGAGAGGAGAGAACACATTGAGCATCGAGCGCCACAAAAACACACACGATACCCAAAACAACCATGACGACAGAGGAGAACTGTACCTCCTTTCAAGACGCCGGGTTGTGTGTTGTATTCCCACTTGATCTTTGTTATCAGGTAGTACACCTGAGACACGTACCTGTGGCACACGGGAGAGTGAGTTAATAATCCCGGAGGGGAAATCTGCATCCTCTTCTGAGGGATAAAGTCGGAGTACTCACACGGCTGAGGGGATGACCTCGGTGGTGTCTTCATCCACCTCGTTCTGCAGATTCTGAAGCTCGTGTTCAGCGGTCCTCAGACTCTCAAACTCTCTCTGCAGGAATCTAAGCGAGGATTAAAGAAGCTGACAGACAGGAGGGTAAAACCAAACCAGACCAATCCAGACCGTGTTCCTTCATGACGGAGAATTGTTTTTAACGTTTCGTCATCATAAGCACTTTTAAAAGATACTGCAGCTCGGACTCTGTGATCTGGCTCTTGGCCGTGCACTTCTTCAGCTGCTCCTCCAGACTGCCCAGCTCCATCTCGCGGTGCTTTTTCTCCTCCTCCATGTCGAGCAGCCTCTGACCCGCGCTCTCCTCGACCTGAGCCACGTCTGGGGACGAGGAACATCTGCTTTATTTACACGACGTGTGAAATGTCTTCAATCCAATTTAAATCATTCTGATTCACACTTCACTGTTTACATGGACGCTAAATAAAGTCGTGCAATTCATCTGACGCACGCAGAGCTGTTGCTGCTGGGTGTTTCTGCCTGAAATAGCAGCAGAAGAAGAAGCTGTTCCTTCCTGTTAAGATACATAAAAGCATGCTCTAATGTGTGACTGCTCTTAGGAACACAAGGTAGACTACGGGCTCAAGTTTTTCTCCGTAGTGAGATCCATTTCAAGCAGAACTCAATCCCTGCTGTGTGTTTATTCCCCATTTTTATTTTATTTCTGGCATGGACGCCAGAAACCCTGAAATCATAAACAGGGTGAAGGTGATGTTCACTGAATGAAGGGTGTTCTAAACTTACCTTTTAAAATCTGCGTCACAATCTTTTTGGTCTCTACGTGTTGGTCAAAAAGAGCCTTATGTTCATCTTTCACTCGGCTCAGTTGCTCCAGCTGCCCGCTGTTGATGAACGCCACCAAGGCCTCGGCCGTCTCCTCCAAGTCCTGAAATTTGTTCCCTTGAGCCATCGTGGTGAGACTGTAAAGAAAAAGAAACTGAAGAGATTCAACAGAAAATTATGTTTTGGTGCTGAGTGAGAGGCACAAGATTAAAATATCTGATAAGTATATTTTAACTTCATGCTTTTAATAAATCTAAATAAAAAGACTTGTGTTAGGACACTGTTACGGCTGTGTGTTCCCCTGTGCTGTGTGTTCCTTCTCCACTTCCTGTTGTCTCCAGCCCAGGTGAAGCCACTAATTGAACAACGAGGCACACCTGGCCTCAGAGCTTAAAAGGCTGGCTGCAGAAAGAGAGGCATTCTGAGGAGGTGGTTGTTGTTGGGACTGCTGTGCCGCTCAGTCAGGGATTGTCTTTTGTTAAGTTACTTTCTAATTTGATCTGTGTTATGAGATGATGAGATGAGATTCAACTTTATTGTCATTACACATACACAAGTACAGAGGAATGACATGAGGTTGACATCTCACAGAAGTGCAATCAGCAGAAAGTGCAAGAATCTGTGTAATTACAAAATGTACAGATGTAGATTTAAAAAAAAGTGAATTATTGGGTATATATGTCTGGATTAATGGGATGCTATAAATATAAATAAATGCTATAAATATAAATAAATGCTATAAATATAAATAAAAGCTATAAATATAAGTGTATTCTTAGGATTATAATATACAGATTAAGGTGCAGTGAGCATGCTATACTAGATTATCATTAAGTTTAAGTAATTGTAATAAATCCCTTTGTTTTGACTTTGTTAAAGTGTTTAATGTCTTTAATGGGTCAATGTGCGTAACAACACTTTACGTCTAACAACAGCACTTTACGTCTTCAACATCAACAACCACTGAAGCTGTCACCAGTTAACACGGTAACTCGTTAGCCCATAACACCGCACTGGGGAAAACATTTTTTATTAAATGTATTATTATTTTTAAAAGTGCTCCTCACCATATTGTATATTCTTTACTATCTAAACATCAGCTTTAAAACATTTACAGCCTTCAGAGCATGAACTCGTCTCCTTCATTTGTTTACCGTAAACAGTTAAACGAAGCAAACGTTAAACTCTAAAATACGACAGTGACTCAAATGTAACACAACACTGTCGACTCAACTACCTGTGTCGTTGTAACTATGTTTGTAAAATAATTTTGATCCAAGATGTGAAGGTTAGGGGGCAAAAAGCGACTTACCGGACAGTTTCTTTTTTCCGGGATTCAAAAACAGACCGCGCTTCACTTCTTCTTCGTTGGTGTTTGGCGGAAATTCAGCAGCAGCTTCCGCGCATATCGCCACCTACAGTACAGGACTGAAATAGCATCGACGATGTACTGTGAACATTTCATCAGTTAAATACTTTAAATCTGAGTCTGTCAAAACTGCTAACATCTTTAAATGAAGAAAACTCACAATATAATTAATTCTCCCTACATATTTATCAGTAATATATTTGCTTATCAACGGTCGGCTTCATTTAAACCGAGCTAATAGTTCAATCTCCTGACCAGAGACATCAAATTTGTGGGTTTATTTTGTTAACCGCTTTACCGGAGTTATAGCAACATTAGAAAAATGTTTCTTTACAGTGTTGTTCATTGTTTTAGGCTGCAGAGGTATGTCAATAAAAAATAAAAATGCTGGAACAATGTTCACGTACAACAGCCGTATAAAACATGGAACCACTCTGCCTTCAAATCAAGTAAAAATATGTAAAGTAAATGAACACTCACCTGTTTGAATTACATGGATAACAAGCAAGAAGAAAACTACGATAAAAAACTGGAGAAGTTCAGGGATGATTTATGAATAATAAATGTTTATTACAGTCATTGTGAAATCTTAAACACATGAATGTAGAAGAGAAAACATTTCAGCATGTCATCTTATTTATAATAGTATAAACATGAATCAAATGTTTTTCATGATGAAAACATTTAATAATCAGACTATAAAAATCTTTGTATTGTTCTGATCTCAGAGCCTCTCTTTGTTTTTCTGCTTCTCTTTCTTCTCCTGAGCTTTTCGTCTCGTTCGGCCGAGCTGTCTGAAGAACAGTCTCTTGGGGTTCAGACCGTACGCCTTCAGTCTCGACCGGCTGAACTCCCGCCCGCCTATTTTCACCCCGGTTCTTTTGACGCCTTGCCATCCTGGATACTGAGGCTTGTTCCTGAGCCACGGCGGGACCTCAGTCCTGATTTTCACCTTGTTGGTTTTATCTGCAGTTTCCTCTGCAGTGACCGCCGCCTGGGGTTCTTCATCTGCTTTCATCTTCTTACTCACGGGAACCAGAACCTCCTCGTCGTTGTCTTCCCCGTCCTGAGCGAGAGTCTCTCTTGTAGAGTCCGGGTCGGACGCCGCAGCGTCTCCGTCCTCCGCTCCTGGGATTTCTTTCTCAGCATTCTTCACACGATCTCTTCGCTTCTTCCCCACTTTGGTCTTAGCCTCTGCAGCCTCTTTGTCCTCCCTGTAGAGAACAATCACAGACGTGTTAAATACCATACATTAATCACTGATGGTGTAATACATGATTCTGATTGGCCGCGTCGCTGCGTGTCATTTTCACTCACTCAGAATACACGGAGCTCAGGATCTCTCTCTTCCTCTTTTCATTCTGGGCTTTGATTTTATAATTCTTCAGATCACTCATCTCCTCCTTTTCAGACCTAAAAAAACAAAACGATGTCGTTTCATTAAACCACCGGAGACAACCGAACAGGCGTTCACACTTTTTAAATGAGGGGGCGGAGCCTCTACCTGAACATGCACGTCTTCTTCAGAGAGCACCAGCTGTTCAGCTCCTTATCGTTAGCTTCTAAAATCTGAAAAAAAAAAAAGAGTCATTCATCAGTTTAAGTCAACAACATTATTGTTTCTGGAACATCAGAGTCGACTGTGAGAGTTTAAACTAGAGGTCGACCGATCTGAAATTTAAATCTTTGACTTTTGGAAAAAGACTTCAGTGTTGATTGTCTGTTTCTCCTGTGACATCTAGCCAATCAGATCGTGTTGTGGGCGGGACATAAGGTGAGACAGAGGCGCCAAAGTGGCACACTCTTTATTTAATTTAAATCAGTGAAATAAAAACACTGATTCAGGTAATCGGCTGAATTTTGACCTCTTATTTCGGTCGCCCCCGGAGTTCAAACACTTCCCACGAGCTGCCGGTGTGATCTGCTCAGAGAGAAGATTAAAGTGAGATCACTTCCTGGTCAGAGTTCTCCCCAGAGAGAAAACAATACCAGGTCAGAACAGATCCTCATCACTGCAGCATCGTTCACCAGCAGCCAGTCGGCCGATGTTATCAAGCCGTCCTCAGGATCAGGAGCGTACACTGACTGGTGTACAGCAGCTTCCAAAGAGGGCGGGGCTTAACACAGTTAAATTTAAAGCGCTTTGGTCCTCACCTCGTTGGTGCTCAGGCCGAAGTCGTTGGGCAGAACTTGTCTGTAACGGAACCGGCACGGGAGGTCGTCGATGATGTCCTCGTAGTCCAGCTTGTAGTACTCGTCCAGGTACTGCTCGAAGGACTTCTCCTCTGAAACAAAAAACATTTAAAAAACTATTTTACTGAGGCGCAGTGGTTAGAGTGCATGTCCCATGTATGGAGGCTGTAGTCCTCCAAGCGGGTGGCCCGGGTTCAAATCCAGCCTGTGGCTCCTTTCCCACATGTCATGCCTCTCTCTGATTTCTAACTCTATCCTCTGTCCTGTCGCTACAAAAAGGCAGAAAAATTAATCTAAAAAAATGAAAAGAAATACGATTTTACGATGATTCTCGTTTTAATTCTGTTTTTTGATAGATTTTTTTTGTCTTGAGTGGATACGAGACTGAAGATTTAAGACGTCCACTGAGCCGCAGACACATTTTGAAATTCTACTCGTGTATATTGATTTTTCTTTAATTCCAGCCGAACGCTGAGTTTCACATTTCAGCTGCGGGATGTTCACTCACGTGGATCAAAGACGGGTTTCTCCTTGGTGACGGCCTCTGCGAAGTGAGACTTCTTCCTCCTCTTGCCCGTCTGCGGCAGATCGTCCTTCTTCATCTTCTTCCTCTCCTTCTTCTTCTTCTTCTTGGAGGCCGTCTGCAGGCTGGGGTCGAAGTCCGCGTCCATCTGTGTGGAGAAGACGACGCGTCAGTCAAACGTCTTCCTCTTGACGAGGACCAATCACACGACTGGAAGTCACAATACTCACGATGAAGTTATCGTCTTCGCAGTGCGGCCCCGAGGCGTCATAGTCCTCGCCATCGAGCTCTTCCTCTTCACCGCCGTCGTCCTCTCCTTTCTCTCCGGTCCACGTGTCCCAGTTCCAGTGATCTGTGACAAACACGACTTTTATTACAAAACGACAAACAGGACGGACATTACTCTGTGTGTGTGTGTGTGTGTGTGTGTGTTAAATCTTACCTTCGATTTCCTCTTCATCGTCAAACTGAGGTTTCTCTTCTTCTGCTCCTCCGTAATATTCGTCCCCAAAGAACTTCTGGAAACAGGAAACAGACGCAGCAGAAGATGAGCTTCAGCTTTATCCCCAGCATGGAGCTCATCAGACTAACACAGCACACCTGAGGAAGGTGTGTCTACTGATGACACACCAACCAAGTGATCTGATTGGACAAGAGGAGCTGAGGAGTGTATGACATCACAGGGACTTAAAGCTGTCTGCATCATCATCACCTCCATCAGGAGTTCACATCAGTTTAACGAGCAGCAGGATTCTAAACATTCAATATTTCTGCTGATTTTAATTATTGAGAATTAGTGTGTGTGTGTGTGTGTTTGTTTCTGTAGTGTGTGTGTGTTTGTGTGTAGGAGTGTGTTTGTGTGTAGGAGTGTGTGTGTTGGAGTGTGTGTGTGTGTAGTAGTAGTGTGTGTGTGTGTTTTTGTAGTAGTGTGTGTGTGTTTGTGTTTCTGTGTGTGTTTGTGTGTAGGAGTGTGTGTGTTGGAGTGTGTGTGTGTAGTAGTAGTGTGTGTGTGTGTTTTTGTAGTAGTGTGTGTGTGTGTTTGTGTTTCTGTGTGTGTGTTTGTGTGTAGGAGTGTGTGTGTTGGAGTGTGTGTGTGTGTGTGTAGTAGTAGTGTGTGTGTGTGTTTTTGTAGTAGTGTGTGTGTTTGTTTCTGTAGTGTGTGTTTGTGTGTAGGAGTGTGAGTGTGCATGTGTGTGTAGGAGTGTGTGTTTGTGTGTTTCTGTAGTAGTCTGTGTGTGTGTGTGTGTTTCTGTAGTAGTGTGTGTGTGTTTGTGTGTGTGTGTGTGTTTGTGTGTAGGAGTGTGAGTGTGCATGTGTGTGTAGGAGTGTGTGTTTCTGTGTTTCTGTAGTAGTCTGTGTGTGTGTGTGTGTGTGTTTCTGTAGTAGTGTGTGTGTTTGTGTGTAGGAGTGTGAGTGTGCATGTGTGTGTAGGAGTGTGTGTTTGTGTGTTTCTGTAGTAGTCTGCGTGTGTGTGTGTGTGTTTCTGTAGTAGTGTGTGTGTGTTTCTGTGTGTGTGTTTCTGTAGTCGTCTGTGTGTGTGTGTGTGTGTGTTTCTGTAGGAGTCTGAGTGTGTGTGTGTGTGTGTGTGTGTGTTTCTGTGCGTGTGTTTCTGTAGTAGTCTGTGTGTGTGTGTGTGTTTCTGTGTGTGTGTTTCTGTGTGTGTGTTTCTGTAGTTGTGTGTGTGTGTTTCTGTAGTAGTCTGAGTGTGTGTGTGTTTCTGTAGTAGTGTGTGTGTGTGTGTTTCTGTAGTAGTCTGAGTGTGTTTGTGTTTGTGTGTTTGTGTAGGAGTGTGTGTGTGTCAGAGTGTGTGTGTTTTATTAGGTGTGTGTGTGTGTGTGTGTGTTTTATAGGTGTGTGTCTGTGTGTGTGTGTGTGTATGAGTGTGTGTGCGTTGTCATGGCGACCTGCATGAGCTGCTCGTGTTGCTGAGGATCAAAGTCTCCCTCGAGGTCGTCCTGACTGAAGGCGAGCTGCTCGTTCCCCGTCAGCTCCTGAAGCTTCTTCAGCTTCTCCATGATCTCGTTCCTCTTCAGGTTCTTCAGCGTCTTCAGCTGCTCGCGCTTCTGCTCTTTCTCCTGGAACACACCGCCGCCGGATCCATGAGGCGAGGAACGAACACACACACGTTGATAACGAGGGCTCAGATACCTGATTTAACCCTTCAACGTACCTTCTGCTTCCTGTCCTTCACTTCTGCTCTCTTCCGTTTCCGGCTCTCGTCTTTGGAGCGTACAGACGTGGCGATGTTACGCGGGTACGTTTTGACCTCCTGTGCGTCGGGCTCTTCGAAGCGGAAGTTGTAGCTTCTCTCGAAGTCGTCCTGACGCTCCAAGAACGTCTCGCCTTCCTCTTCAGAGTCCTCCACGTCGTCCTGGACCACCTCGTCGTAGGTCGGGATCCTTCATGAAGCAGGAACATTTATTTCAAATCTTCAAACTGAGCATCATGTGGCTTTAAGAACCGAGCTGTCGTCGGTGACAACAACATAACGCCATCACCACATCGATATGAATGCTCAAAGACGTGGTGACACTTTAGCCACAGTCTGAGTGGGTAATCCTTCCACATGACATCATGCAGCCTTTTTAAAAAAATACAATAAACGTTCTCAACAGGAAGCTACAAACCGTTCTTCTTCATGGTCTTCTTCCAGGTATCCTTTGTTGAGGACGTAGTCTCTCAGGAAACGCTCTTTCTCGTCCAGCTCCGGGTCGTTCCAGTAATCTCTCAGGTATTTCTGTCCCAGCAAAACAAGATTTTTAGTTAAGTTAAAAACTTATACAAGAATTTCTAAATCAATGTTCTTATTATAGAAAATAAAGGTGCATTCATTTTGTTCTGCTTTAAAGTCTTTATATGTGATTTTTTGATCCAGCAGATGTCGCCCTTGAGCTCCAGCATGAAACCAAAACAACTTGCGCTGCATTGTTGTGTTAGCATGCTAATGCTAGCGATCTTTATTATGCTGGTATCTTCACACTGCATGTAAATTTACCTGAAATGAGCGTGATCTAGAAACACAGTTAAGCAGTGAGTACAGTATGTTATTCTTCTTTTCTCTAGTCCCTCAATTAAACTACTTTTATACACGAGGGGAGGAGTCAGCCGGCTGTCCTGGCGATGTAAACAAAGTGAAGATAGGACTCTGAAAACTCTGAAAACATCACAGACAGTGGGACTCGGGTGTTACACCCATTGTAGACAGTCATGACTCACAGAGTTATTTTCAGAGGAGATACTGGATTTATACATTTAAGTGTGAAGAATCACATTTAAAGACTTCAAGTTTAGAAAGGATGAAATTGTGCCATTGACTTTTTTTAAATGAAAAGAAATCAAAGTGACAAAACCACAAGATGTCCTTTGGTTCTCAGCACTCCCCCCACACTCACCATGTCCTTCACCTCCTCGGGGCCCTCGACCTCCGCCTGACCTTTCAGCCAGTCCACATAGTCTGATTCTTCTTTATCCTACAAACACAAACACACACACAGATGAGTTTATCCAGCTTATGGACGTCTCTTTTTTCAAACAGGAAGTCAGCTGTCTCAGCGTCACACCTTCTCATCCTGCGTTTTGATCCTCCTGATCAGCAGCTGGGGTTCTTTCTCTCCCTCGCTGCCTTCCTTTTCCTCCTCGTCGTCGCTGTCCTGGATGAACTTACGGAAGCTGAAAAGTGATTTTTTATTAGCGTCAGTCAGTTTGTCTTCTTTATTCATGAACCTTCAGGTTGTTTGAGTCTCACCTTTCCTTCAGCTCCCTCTGCTCCTGCATGTAGCTCGGGGAGGCGGCTCGCTGTGAAGGAAACAAAGATTAATAAAAACATCTCACACATTGTTGAGAGTTGAATTCTTTGATAACACTTTTTACCTCTCGTCTCTTGATCGCCTCCTCGTCATCACTCTCCTCGTCGTCTTCATATTTTCTGTTGAAGTGAAATAAATCGATCGTAGGATGACAATCACACGTCATATATTTATCCAACGTGTTTTTTAAACAGCTTCATGCAGGACTCCAGTCACCAGCAGCTCGCTCACCCTTCTCGTTCCAGAATGACTTTGCGCTCGTAGTCCTTCAGGTACATCGGCTTCACGCCTTTCTTAGAGGTCGAAGGCGTGTCCTCGCTGGTGGACGCCCCTGAAGAGACAGACCATTAGATGTGGTGTTTAAATGAAGGCACTTTCATCGCCCTCACACAGGTCGTCATGTGGTGGACGCTGAAGCTTCAGTGTTTAGCCAGCTCTGCATCAGTCTGTCACTTTACACATTTCACTGATTGCTCAGTGTCAGGTATGAAGGGGGTCTGGGTTGTGACTGCACACACCAGAATTAAGCTCTGATTGTTGTCACTTATCAACAAGTCCAACAAACAACAACAATCACCTTCTGAGTAGAACTTGGCATCAGTCTCATAAATCTTCGGGTCCTTCTTCTTCAGCAGAGATAATGTCCTGTAGAAATCTCTCTCAATCTCCGGGTCCAGCTCCTGTAAAGGCAGACAAAGAAATAAATAAATACACGTGTCACAGCCTCTTTTTAAAAAACAATATATTATCATTATTTTATTTGTTATGCTTATATGTTCTTGTGTCTTTCTGCATTTTCCTGTTTGCCTTTTAATGTTTTCTTAAACGTCATCAACCTGCCAGATGAAAATGAGCCTGTATGGTTAAATGTGGCACAGTGACATGTGTGACTTCGTTGCTCTTGTTTAATGTGCTCACCACTTCACTGTCATCAGAGCTGGACTCATCTTCAGACTGACTCTCATCCGCCTGGTCTCCGTATTTATCCTTCACTGCAACACACACACACACACACACACACACACACACACACACACACACACACACACACACACACACACACACACACACACACACACACACACACACACACACACACACACACACACACACACACACACACACACACACACACACACACACAGTAAGCTGGCCACGCTTTCCCCACGTTATGCTGTTAGCATCGTTAGCATCGTTAGCAGCGTCACACTCACGTCTCTGCAGTTCTTCTTTCTGTCGGTATTTCTCATATTTCTGAGCGAACTTGGAGTTGATTTTAAATTCCGATTTGCCCGCCATGGTGTCGATGAAGAATATAACTTTGTGTTTTGGTTGTTCCTACTGAGAAGTCATCCCAGCAGCTCCATGCGTGTGTGTGGTGTAAAAGCTGGACCACGTGGTTTCCGGTGCATACGTCATAGATGACGCGGTTTCCCCTCTAGAGGGCGCGCTGGCACCAAATTGCTGAAAACAGGTTTTCTAAGTTGCTGTCGTGTTGCTGTGAGGGACAAAAAATGACTAAAGTATAAATAAATAAATAAATTCATGAATAAATAAATGTTGGGAGGAATGCATACAATAATGTATAAATAATAAATAAATGCATCAATAAATTAGACTTAGACTTAGACTTAGACTTTCTTTATTGTCATTCAAACTTGTACTTTACAGAGCAGATATGAACGAAATTTCGTTGCATTTGTCTCGTTGTAGTGCAGGATAAAAAACAGCAGCAAGTATTTACATAGAAAAATAAAAATAAGGTGCAGATATAAATAGATATAAAAAGAAAAGCTATGAGTAAAAATACTATACAGATAAATATATTGCACGTTATATTGTATTTTACAGTCCAGTGAGGCAGTCCTGTGTGGGGGTTTGAGGGGGAATGGAGGGATTCTTTTATATATAAATATATAAATGCTGAAAACAATACATCAATGAATAAATAATAAATACACTTTGTTAATGAAAAAGGCTATTTATATATTTATTTATTTATTTATACCAGGTCGTAAGAGGAAAAGTATATCTGTAAATTTGCTTCTGTCTGTTTTTCAAAATTGACCAATCCTACTTTAGTAATGTTAGGACGGCCCACTTAATTGACATATATGAATATATTTATTTATATATTTATTTATTGATGCATTTATTTAATCATTTATTTATTTATACATTATTGTATGCATTTCTCCCAACATTTATTTATTTATTTATTTATACTTTAGTCATTTTTTGTCCCTCATAGCTCAACTATTTACCTGGAAAATCAGAACAACTGTACAGTTTGTGATAAAAAACACCAAATCAACAGAACATGTATTTCATGAACTCATTTAAGTGTCTTTAAAGATATTTGTACGACTGATTATCTTCTATATTTTCCAAATAATATAATCAACAAAAGGAAATGTGATTTGTAATATGTTTATGAGAGATTGTAGGTTTTTATTCTTGATTTGTTTTTAAGGAAACAAAAAGATTCATAAGCACGCATGTTGCTATTTGTCATGCATTATAGTAGACTAACAACGACCCTTAGATACCCAGAATAAAAAACTTAAATATATCAATCTGTCTAAGTATTTAAAAAAGAAACTGAAGCTAAGTGAATACAGAGCTTAAGTAAAATTATCAGACTGGTCATATTGTATGTAACAAGGGGCAATCTCAGGTGTTGACAAATGAAGACGATGCTGGAGTGTACATATCCTGCAGTTCCTGGAGTGTCCACTAGAGGCTGGCTGCAGAAGCACAGGAAGTCACATACACACCCATTCTAAAAAGCCTGTTTTTACAGCAGAGATGAACATGTTTACAGCCTGGTTCAAAAAACCAAATAGGTGTGATTAGCTCATGTCTCGATGGACACACACTGTACAGGGGGGTGAATGTTTTGATGACTCATCAGTTTTGATTTGATGAAGGATCTGACAATAACGGAGACTCTTAATATATAATTATATATTAATAAAAAACAAAATCAAAGCACAGAGCTGAAATATTGCCAACAATTGTAAAGATTTCAGGATTTGAAATGTTGAGAATAAAGTTAAACCGTCAGCCCGTTTAGGATGTAAATGAAGGTGTTGGAGGAAAACTTGTTTTTGTCTTTTTTTTTTCAGTTATTCGCGGTGTAACGGTTTGTCAGGAGGTTTAAAACCTAAAGCTTCTTTGATTAAATATTGTGTTAGTCATGCTGTTGTCCGGTCAGTGGCGTGATCCCCCGCTGATCTGACTCTGATCAAAGGTCAGTGATGGTCCAGTGACTATACACCTGACTTTTTGATTTTATCTATGTAGGATCAGGTGAGAGGCAGTGTGGTAGCCTCACACTTTGGGGTCATTGTGTCCCAAACACAGGATTTTAGGAACTTGCACCAAAATGTAAACTTATGATTCACAATTGGAAGAAATGTTATGTTTACAAACGGAGAAACAGGTCGTTCTTTGAGCTGAACACAACGTTTTTTGGAGTAAAAATCACTTTTTCCATTTATCTGTGGGAGTAACTGGAACAAGACAACCCTATGTACTTGACCTTTTCAGCAAAATCAATGATTAATCACGTTGAAGAATTCAGATCCACCTTTTCTTTGAAGCACAGATTATTTTATTGCAGTCTGTGCAAACAAAAAGCAAATGTACCGCAGGATGCTGGAGGCTTAATATCTGCTTTAAGGAGTGTTTCAATTTAAACCGATGGGAATGTCATACATGGTGGTTTATACACAGAATCATATGTTCCTAAAAAGGAGATCTAAAAGTGTAGCATGAACTTTGTTTCTTCACCTGTGTCACTGCATCTCTTCTTGTTATCAGCTCAACATTTCCGTTCTTCGTCAGCCTTGACCTCTGCACATGTGAGGGTTGACCACAGATTATAAGGGTCAAAAAGCGGGTTAGTTCTACCCTCGTTTTTCTGATAGCTGTTGTTGTACAATGAAAGCTGTAATAAAATATATAATTTAATAGATGCGACCTGATCTTCAGAGGGGATCGTTGACTAAATGTTTTCAACCAATCAGACTGCAATCTGAATTCTTTTTTTGTAAAGGTAAACAACAGTTAATGTCAGGAGTCCTTAGGGGCGGAGCCAGAGGGTGGGCAGGGCCATCGTAGACATCAGATTGGCCACCGCAGAATCCTGATCTATGATTGGCTGTTCGCCTTGCCTTTTGTCCGAATTAACTATTTTGGCTGATGGTAACATTCTTTGCATCTTGATGTCGCCCATTTCACTTTGTGTTTTAAATAGTGACTTTGGCCATAGGACGCCGTTTTCAGTGGGTCATGAATGTGCGCCTGGAACTTGCACCTTCTGGTTTTGTTTTTTGAATTGCATTTTCCTCACCAAGTAAAATACATTAATACAATTTACACATGAAGGAAAAAAGTATGTTTTACTTCATGTATTTTGAGAGCACTGTTTTTGTTTCTGCGAATGCATAAAAAGTTGTGCTAGACTTTCCAGGCTGCACTCTTACGTAATCATATTTGACTTTGTGTGTAAATAAATGACAACAAACCAGCCGTTCACATGCTCGGATTGTTTTTTACTGGACATGTGTGTGGGAGACTTTCCTAAAAAAACGTGTGTGGTTTTGCCTTTCACTGTGACGACCTTACCTTCCAAGAAAGAGGGTCTGTTTTCCACCGAAAAACTACAAAAGCACAGCCCGACCCCCCCACCCCCCACCCCCACACCGACCCCCCTGTGAAAATAAGAGAGAGGCAAAAAAAAAGAAAAAACACCTCTCTTTATGTTTTCTGCCATGTCTGCATACCAAAGCAGTTGGATGGAAACAGGGGAATATGCTGCTGAACATTTTTCAAATCCTCTCAGCAGTCATTAATCAGTTTGAGCCACAACAAAGAAAAGTAAGACGTGGCTTTGCTCCATGTGAGAAAACAGAACCAAAAACATCCATCACAATATTCACAAGTAAAACATTTCTTAGAAGGATAGATCATGACATAGTTGGACTCAGTGTTTCTGAACACGTTCTACTTTAACCACAACTTCAACTTAATATGACTAAAGAGTAACAGCTGAGGTTTTTATTGTGAAATACATCATCACATGTATCTGTTAAGAAGATCCAAGTATCCCAACGTTATTAGGATGCTGAATGAATGTACAGCAGCCCCTGAAGACCCAAAAAGTAAGCCTCACAGCCTCACTACTTTGTGGGAATTAATAATTGATTTGAGATATTTTTAAAGAATTATTGTCTATAAAAAATGCATAAATATTTAGCTTAAAGTAGTCATTCACGTAATGTTGGGGGAGTAAACTTCAAGTGATAGATTAACAGTGAAGCTCAAGTTGTAAAAAGTTGAAATAATTTGTTTAAGTGATTAACTGTTTAAAAAGTGAGCCAAATGTAGGCTAAATGATTCGCCCACCAGTAAACAAAAGGTTTCAGGTATTTAACAGGTGAATAAACACATTTGTAGATAGTTTACTTTTTTTTGATAAAAATGTAAAATGATTCGTGAAAAGTGATTGACTACTGGCAAAAAAAAAGCAAGTTAAAATCGGAGTAAAGGGTAGAAAAAGCCTAATGTAGGCTAATGATTAGCAGTCGGAAATGTTATCTAAAATCATGCCGGCTATTCTAAAAGTAAAATAGATAAGCTAAGTTTTAGATAGATAGACAGTTGTTGATGCTAGCTTAAAGTAGCCGTAAGATGAAAAGATAAATAGTTAGCTTATAAACAGTTGAAAAAGCTGAAACTAAAAACAACTGATAACATTTAAGTTGGCTAATAATCCCAGTTTGAAATACTGACTATGCTGAAAGTTATCCATGGTTAACTATTTCATTACATAGTTAGCTTACACCGAGAAAATGTTGACATTGACCAGTTGGCTAATGACAACCAGCTAAACTCGTAAACGATCTACTTTATTCAGGTTAAATATCAGAGCTAAAAATGACATTTAGACAGAAGTGTACAAAAAACTGAACCCACACGCTGGTGATTCTATAATAAATAGAAGCATTTATTTATTTACATCAAATGTTCAAAAGTTTACAACAAAGTCTAGAACAGTGATAGTATTACCCAAAAACAACAAAGAACAAAATATTTACATTTATGAACATAATATTTACACGATCAACCTGCACTGTTAGTCTGTGAATATCAAATGACTTCACATACAGATTCAGAAGTTTTCTCATTAATTAAAAATCCACTGATCTCAATAGCACCAACATGAATTATTGAACAAACTACATCATTCAAAGGCACAAATTTCTTTAAAAAAAACACCAATATGTGTTTTTGAACCACCATGATGGGGCACATGGCTTTGTTTTGTCAGGAATGCTAGTGTAAGTCAAGTTCAAGTTCTGGTCTTGAGGAGGATGTAAATGAACACGTGCCGCGGTGCAGAAGCTTTAGCATTGACCCAATTGGTCACACGTGGCCGCATCAAAGCTTTTCAGTCTCTCAGGAATGTGCTGGCCCGCCCTCCCAAGAGAGGCATTGAGAGGGAAAATTTAAAGATGGCTCTCCGGTGCACAGACAGCACATCACAAATCAGCAGGCCGCTGCTGGTGGCGTGTTGTGACCATATGTTGAGGGCTATCACAGGTTAAATCAAGGCTGAAACACAGTGTCACGTGTGGTTTTTAATGTAAACTACAGCAGCGTCTTCAGGTCCTATTGGATATTTTCTCTCCACTACTGAGGCAATAACTGGTCTAAAACTCTGAACAGTCTAATTGAGGTCACACAGGTTGACTCATATGACTTACTGTACACTAAACTTTACTTTTCCTTGAGGCTCTCAGAAAAATAGTTTAATTTCTGAAAATTCTTGTTCACTTTCTTGGCTGAGAGTTGTATGAATAGATTGACATCACGCTCACATTTGTGGGATAACGCTGCATTCATGTGGCGTCGGACACATCGGAAGAACGAGTTTCAGAGTTGGAAAATGCTCCTGAACGTCTGCCCATGTCGGAACAACAACTCAGAAACTCAGGAAAGATTTGTGCCAGACTTGACTTCGTTTACAAAATGGCGGACAAAAGATGATTTGGAAAACTTTAAATAAATTCACATATTGCACTTAACTTTATGGTATGACCATGTCAACATAGAAAGACTCCGACTAGTATATTTAAGCAATATGTTTGTAATTATTAGCATTCAACCCTGATTAAAAATATATATATTTTTTTGTTACATCATTCCAACTTTCCAAATTGAAAGCATGTAAAGACACAAAAGTCGGAGGAACGACTTCCCAACTCAGACACCGGGACCATCCGAGGAGCTCATGAATGCAGCAAGTAATATGCTAGCGCTGGATATATTAGCATAGCTTAATTTAGCAAAAGGATGGAAAAAGGGTAAACACAGAATAGCTTTGTCCAAAGATAACAAAATCCACTAAGCATCTTCTGTAAAACTGGAGATAACTTAAACTACTGTCTCTGTTTGGCTCCTCTCTAGCATACTCGTATCTGCATGACCACAAAAGAAAAATCTGTTTGTACTGTTCCATGAACCTACAAAAATAACTAAAAGTGGTATTTACAAAAATGAGTTGTGAATCGTACCTCTCAAGAGTTCAAGAAAATTCACAGTTGATAAATGATCTCAGTTGATCAGACGACACACAGTGTCTTCAACATGACACAGTTCTCCAGCTACACCATCAGGATCACAGTTATAAGAAGGAACAACAATGCTGGATTGTCTGTTTGATTTGGTATGACTTGCTGAGGAGTTGTTTTTGAACTTGATGGAAGAAACAATGTTCAACCTGAAATTAACAGAGGAGCTTGACCCTGGTTTCTCCGCTGGAGAGCGCTTGTGTTTCTGTGAGGATATAGAGGTTTGTTTTTCTCGGCATTGTCTCATCCTGGCTTTAGCTCCCTTTTCTTTCTTTTCTTTGTGCAGTGTGAGGTAACAATGCAAGAGGACCTCTCAGGTAGCTTATCACCAAGGCTCTTCTTTCCACGCTGCTCATTTCTTTTTTCAGTTTTCCGTGAAGGCCGGGTTGTCTGCCTCCTCAGTCAAGCTCACAACTTGTCTCTGAAGGGAAAGAAAACACAAACATGGACGTCAGTGTGAGGATACATATGAAGCTTCTGAAGGAGGAATTCAGCCCTGCGTTCACAGTATTATGGGATTAAAATCGTGGTGGAGCATCACCTCACACTGCACGACCAAAGCTCACTTTCCCTTTGTTTGGCCCGACCTGAGAACTCAGACCTTACTAGTTCAATCAGGACAGAGCGTTGACAACTGTGAGTAAGCTTTTTCTTTGAAAACTTCTCCAGACGGTTGTGTCATATGCACAGCTCAAATGAAAAATACAGAAAACCCTCTCACACTCACACACTCAACACATACTTCCTGTCAGCTGGAGGTCTGCTGTGATTTTCTGCAAACGTTTCTCTGTTCATATCTCTTGTGATCGGAGGGGAAGACACATCGAACAAGCATGCCTGCTATTGCCGAGGTGCTTTCAAATTCTGTCTTGACGGTTTGCCATTTCTTTTAATCAGGAGGAAAAAAGCCCTGAGGTTGGGGAAACGGCTTGTGGCTCTGCTCTCACTGTGCGAGTGTGTGCAGTCGTACAATCAAAATATCAAACATGGCAGAAATTCATCCGACTGATCGGATACAGCTGACCGGTGATAAACCATCGTGCCTGTATGTGCATGTACACTACGGTGCTCAGAAACTACATCCGGCTGAAATGGTAGTGTACGCCTGGTTTAAGGTGGTTGACACTGTAAAATCAAAACCTATGAATCAAAGGGACTCACCTTTGGGTAGGAGTAACCGTCAGGGCTGTGGCTCCTCCAAATGTGCACCTGGTCCTCGGTGGTTTTCTGATAGACCGGGTTGTCAAAGTGAATGGTGTTGGTGTTCTTGAGTCTGTAGTTCCTCCACAGCAGCACTCCTCCAACAGCAACAATGCAAACAATCACTGCGAAAAAGTCGCCAAAGGGGAGAAGTTACAAATTAAAGATTTAGCTGCTGTTGTTTCTTTTTTATTTTTTAAGTCAACTGTAAAGCAACTCACCGAGAGGTAAGATGATATAGAGAGCCAGCGGGGTGGTGGAGGCCGGGTTGGGTACAACTGCCGCAAAATCAGGTCTTGAATCTGAATGAAAAATTAAAAACAAAGGAAGAAGTTAATGATCCATGTAGCTGGAGTTTAAAGACCTCAGTGTGTGTTTACCATGAAACCCTCCACCGACACACACAACGTATATTCTGTGTATGTTTGACGTCAGCAGCGTCCCCAAAACATCCTCAGCTCGTTATATCAGCTGTTGAAAAACATGTCGGATAACAAAAGTGCAAAAGTTGACCATATATCATCTGGTCAACTTTGCAAACACCCTTAGCCAGATGCTGCCCTGTATGCGTCACTTCAGCTCCCTGTGTGTTTAACTACGTTGTCCTTGTAAAATAAATTAAATTCAAAGTCGGGACAACTTCAACTTGCCTGGAGACGTGACTGGAGACTCCGTGGTGGTCTGCAGAATCTTCACTGGCTCGGGTGTCGTCGTCCTTGGTTCAGGTGTGGTGGTCCTGAGAGGGGGTCTGGTGGTGCGTGGGGCAGGCCTGGCTGGAGTTCTGGTGGTCTCGACGGGCGCCGTGGTGGTGGGGACCTGCAGCTTAGGTGTGGTGCGGGCCTGCGGTTTGGGTGTGGTGCTACGTGGTGCTGTCGGCTGAGGAGGCGGGTCGGTATCTGGAACTTGAGGCTGTGCGGGGGCTTCAGGTGTAGGAACAGCTGATGAAGAACCAACACAGGAGGCGGGTGAGACTCACAAATAGAACTGCCTAAAATGAGTTTTTAAGAACTGTACTTATAAGACATGGATGATGATTTCTGGAATTGTGTACAGGTGTACAGTCCTCTGTAAAATATGGTTGTCATGGTGATGGTCGTGAAAGGAGGGATAAGTTGGGGGATGAGGAGGAGCAGAGGGTTTTACCAGCTGTTTGGTGTCTACACTTTGTTCCCCATCATAGATTACATCCCTCAGAAATATGATGACTTTTATATGTAGTCTTGCTTTAGTTTTCCATGACAGGAGATCATTTCATCCGTCCAACAACAGAGTACCGTTAAATAACCTTATGTTGAAGTTGACGATTTAACCACTTCATGTCACCAGTTTCATTTCATGCTGGTTGCAGATTTAGGCTTTAGGTTTTGTCATATTTTAGAGACACCATGTTTGTGGATTAACATCAGTAAACAGAGGTTAGTCCGTTCAGACACGAGAAGTCTGGACGTTACGCTCTACTAGTTAAGATGAGACTTGTCTCCATGGTAACCAACAATGACGCAACTTAAGTCAGAAACTAACCCGTTTTGACGTAAGGTTTAGTGTGGACTTTAGAACTTGAGACAGAACAACACAATACATTTATCCTCTTATACATACCAGGCACACATGTCCTCATATCCCTGGCTAGCATCATGTTATCTGGACAGACGCAGGTGTATTTCGGGGGATGTCTGCCAACTTGTGGAGCTGCCAGACACATGAACTCACAGTGGGATACCTGGCACCAGTTCCTACCTGCAACAGAAAACAGGTGTCAAAGTAAACTTTGGGAAATGTCTTTAAAAGCCCTAAAACTTTACCAATACATTTTAAATTATTCGAATCATATAGCAAAGAGAGAAAACTGACATTATTCTCATACTAAATGTAAGCTAATGAGCTCAGCTTGTTAGCAAGTGGACGGTTGTCTTAGCTAGGCTAAAAGACTATAACAGCTAGCCTAACAGGTAAAACATAATCTACCAATCAGCAACTCTGAGGCTCAATAATCAGCTAGAAACAAAAGGGAAGTCAGCCGTTTTCCATTTCCAAGTCTCGATGCTAGCCTAAGCTAATCTGTTTCACAGCATCTTTCAAGTAAAAACAAAAAGCTTGACCTCATTGGCTACGCAGCCAGACAAATGCTAACGTTAGATTTCAGCCACTCTCTAGCTAACACTAGCTAAGACAGGGATGGGCAACTTTGGTCACAGCAAGGGCCACATTAACTTAATTCTCACTGCCAGAGGGCCAAATTGTAGTCAGATAACACAATTTCCCCTGAGCTGATAAGTGGTTGAATGCTAACATTAGCTGTTGTCTAACTGGGACCTGAAGGTGATTACATATTTTGGTTTAATTTGATGTATGGCTAATGGCTCTCCAGAATTTCCACTTTCAAATGTGAACATGTTCTTTCAGTTGCTGATCCATCGAGAAGAAGTTTGATGAAGTTTGTCAGACATCCTACATCATTTGATTTCGTTGTCTCTTACCAGCAGGCTGTTTGAGGTTATGGTAGAGAATAATGTCTTCTGGTGACGACAGGTGCTCCGCCACTGGTCTGATGTCGTCACCTGTCAGCCTGTTGGCACTGAGGATGGCGTTGTTACTGACGTCTGTCCAGAACACTCTCTCCTACGAGCACAGAGAACAGCCACACTTTAATAATGACAGTAGCAGCAGTGATAAAAACACGTGTTATATGGAGTTTATGGCATGTTGTAAATGAATCAGGTGATGAACATTTACCTCAAACACAGTGAGACCCAGTGGGTGAGCCAGGTTGTGTTCGTCGATGATGAGGGTGCGTCGACCACCGCCCTGCACGTCGATACTGGAGAGGGTGTGCAGCTTGGAGTCCACCCAGTAGAGCCGCTGGTTCAGCAGGTCTGAGGAGGGGGCAGAGGGGGTCAAGAGGTCGGATGTTAGTGACCGCTGGCGTTCACATAATTTAAGTAAAACAAAAGATTTGAGCTTGTGCAAAACTTAAAGGTCACATATTCTGTAAAATACACTTCACCATGTGTCTCTAGTCCATCTACAAACCCCCCAATGATGAGGAAGATACAAGATTAAAAGTTAATGCTTTACAAATGAATGCTAGAACATACCAAGCGTGATCCCATTGGGCCACTCGATGTTGTCGGTAACCAGAGCGGTGCGGTCTCCTCCGTTCAGACCTGCCTTCTCAATCTTTGCGGAATTCCCCCAGTCCGTCCAGTAAATGAAGCTTTGAGGAAACAGAGAAGAAAAATATTATTTACTGTTAGTTTTGGAAGATGGTTGCTCGACTACACGTCTGGTTTTGCTCAAGGTTTCTGCCTGTTAAAATGACTTGGTACTGACAATTTATGGATCAATGTTGGGTCACTCTCAAAGAGATAACAAGTGCAATCTAGATCATGTCTATATGAGGTCATAAATACAAACTATCTGACTGAATACATTAACTGAGGAAGTCTAGAAAAGATGTTAGACGTACTTGTTTTGGGGATCAACCACAATGGCGCGAGGTTTCGATAAGTTTTGCCTGAAGAGGGTTTTCCGGCGGCTACCGTCAGCGGTTACCACGGAGATGGTGCTGCGGATGCTGTCAGTCCAGTAGAGGTTCCCGTGGATCCAGTCGAAGGCAATTCCTTCAGGAGCATCGATGCCGCTGTTTATGACGGCGCTGTGAGTGGTCGAGTCTTCAGCCGAGTCCATCGGAGCTCTGGATTAGAAATGAAGCGTTTGAGTAAAGAGAACAACAACATGAAGGATTTCATTCAGATTTCTGTCTCTCTCTCTCTCACCTGTAGATCTTTTTGTTGGAGATGTCTGACCAGTAGATCTCTTTGGCGGCCATGTTCATGTCAACGGCCACGACGCTCTTGAGACGGGGGATGACTCGGGTGTACTCGCTCTTGTCCAGAGTCATCTTTCTGACTTCATGACGGTTGGTGAAAAAGAGGTAGGCTATCGTACCTGAAATATCAGAGTGGATGGGTTAATTTTTTACCTGGATTACAGTCAAACCAAAATTCTATTTCCCTTTTTTTAACAAAATAAAAGCATGTATGTTTGGCTTTTATTTTCACTTGTGTACCAATGGGGACAAAGTTAGCAAACAGAACACAAATGGAGTTTTAGTTATTCTTTTTCCTATTGGTATGGAGGTAATTCCATTTTTTTATGGTCCAATTTCTGCGTTAAAATGTTATAAAGACAGGATGTCAAACAGGATAAGTGCATATTAAAGGTTTTACTGGTGGCAAGTAAAAAAGTTTTGACCAGAAAATGGCTTCAGAAAGACACACCAACAACAAATGAATGGATGGATGTAGTCTATAAGATATACACTATGGAAAGAATTAAATTCAGCTTAGATCCAAATTTGATATCTTTGAAGAGATCTGGTCAAACTGAATGTTTGAGATACTCTTGCATAACAATGAGACACACAGCTCTGACATTTACCGATGGCCTTGCAGGCTTTGGTGGCTGGGTCGACCTGGTATCCCTCCTCACACTGACATTTATAACTGCCTATCAGGTTAATGCAGATCTGGCTGCAGGTGTCAGGTTCGGCACATTCATCGATATCTGATGGAAAGACGAGAGGCGGGGGGGTAAAAGGGATGAAACATACATGACAGTGGAACAAAAAGCTGAGTCACTACGTCAATAATAATTATGACATCTCTCTTTATCTCGTACAAAGTGAATTCCATGAATACATTTACCAAATAGTAAACAGATTTCTTGGCATCGTTTGTTTATCTGACTGAAGTTCATCATGTTCCACATGGCCAATGTGGCCATTTGGCGGACTGCTGTGTTCAAGGCTGCAAGTTTTTATAGTAAATCTGTCAATCTATTAATATTTTAATGCTTAATCAGCGACTGAAAAGACAACCGATGTAGAGAATCCCAATGGAAACTGAAGAAAATAACTCTTTAACTATTATCTAGCTTTGTGTCAAACTAATTTTGTAGTATTTGAAAACGGTCTTGGTCTCAAGACCGGTCCACAAAGCGTTTTTTGAAGGTCTCGGACTTGGCGGACTCTGGATTTTGAATCAAGACCGCCACTGATTGGCTATTTTTCCACGGCATTCCTGAGATTAGAAGGAAAACGGCTCTTTCTAAAAGAACAAATAACAGAAAATCTAACCAGTCTTTCACCATCTATTAATTGTAATATTTTGCCTAATAGTACAATTAAAACAATTTGCCAGATTCACCATGTTTTTACAGCATCCAACCTTGAACACAGCTACATGATTTATACTTGATTTGAGCTTCCAAACCTGACTTTTGCCAATGGAGGAAAATGGACACCATGTGAAAACAGTCAATGAGAGGATACTTTAAAAGCATGTGGGCTACTTCTAGTAGTAACTTTATGAAAAGCTGTTACCTTCACAACGTTTGGTGTCCACTAAAAGGAATCCAGCAGGACACAGGCACTCGTAGCCGATCTTAAGATCATTGCAAATATGAGAGCAGCCGCCATTGTTGTACAGGCACTCGTTGGAGCCTGTGGAGGGAAGAAGAAAAGGTCTTTTTTGGAGGATGTACAGTAACTAGCACTCTCAAGCAGCAGACACTCTCATTACGTCCACAGAAGTAGTAATTAACCCGACAGTTATGAATGAGAGGCTTCTGTACTCACCACATTCCCTAAGAGGCTCATCCGACCAATCCCTGCAATCACGCTGCCGGTCACACACCTTCTCCATGCTAATGCATTCTCCACTGCGGCACTTAAACCTTGAGGGGCCTTCACAGTGGGTTGCTGCTCAAGATGATGGACGAGACAGAAAGAAAAGATCAGGTTACAGACACACACTAGTAATCTTGCAGTCAAAAAGGCATCTGTGTAGACCAGAGTAGGAAACATTTGGGAGGTGGTTTCGTACCGTTGACACAGCCGCTTTCATCACTCATGTCCCTGCAGTCGTATTGATGGTTGCACTGGCGGCTACCGTGGATACAGGTGCCATCGCCGCATTGGAACTCATCAGGATGGCAGGTGGGACGGGCTAGAAGAGAGAGGTAGCCAATTGGAATGAGTACAAGAGATTAAACGTTGAAAGTTAGATGTAAAAAGATAATGCCCAACGAGGCTTCCATTACTAGGAATTTATGGACGATAGATTGGAGTCCATGAACTCCAGATTTAAGACACCTCAAGGGGCGTGATACTGCTTATACCATGGCCAGTTCCACAACAAAAGAACAACACCACTATGTTGTTTTAATGTGTTTTGCGATCAAAATGTTTTTGACGAGCCATCAAGACAAATTGTATTGAAATTGGTTGGTACATTCTACAATTCTACAATTCTCTTAGCAGACGCTTTTCTCCAAAGCGTCGTACATCAGAGAGTAAGAACAACACAAGAAAGGATCTAGAAAAAAGGGAACAATGTCAGTAAGAGCAAACGATCAGCTTTGAGTCTGATTGGACACACAGGTGCTGACAGGAAGTGACCAGAGGCAAAGCACAACATTGAAGGCAGTTCTTGAGAGCTCTAATCAGTATAGAAACCATCTTATAAGTCGTCATTATCAAACAAAAACCATCGTCATTACCATCATCATCATCAATAATATGGAGACCATCATCATTAAGTTAGTAGGTATTCATGAAAGAGCTGGGTCTTTAGCTTTTCCTTAAAGGTGCAGAGGGACTCTGCAGATCCAATGGAGTTTGGAAAAGGGAAAAGACAGCGCCAAGAAAACAACTTAGTAGGTGCCTTATTCTAAGGAATTAATGGACAACTTGCAGCCAATCAGATTGAAGTATTTGCTAGATCATTATGCAGCAACATGTAACTAACAGGAAAAGAACAAGGCGTACCACAGTTTGCTTCATCCGATCGATCGTGACAGTCTGCACCGCCGTCACACTTCCAGCTACTGTGGATGCATTCCCCACTTCCACAGCGAAACTCCAACGAGGAGCACCGATGAACGGGACCGGCGTCGGGTTTCTTCGCGCCGCAGTTACTTGGCCACTCGTCGGAGCCGTCGGGGCAGTCAGCATCGCCGTCGCAGGCCCAGAGGTTCGGTACGCAAACGGTGTTGTTGCACCGGAAGGAGGCGGCGCTGCAGGTGACGGCCGGGCAGGAGGCTTCGTCGCTGCCGTCGTCACAGTCCGCCTCGTCGTCGCACACGAACGATGCAGACACGCATTGGCCGTTTCTGCAGCGGAACTCCGTGTTCGTGCACTGCTTTGGCGCTACGAGAGAGAATAAGCACAGTAAGACACGAGAAGCCAGGAACAGGAAGACAAATGAAGATTTGGATTCTCCAAGAAATCCAAGTTTGGTGAATGTTGGCGCCTTAAGTTACTCACCACATCTCTCTTCATCAGCTCCGTTCTCACAGTCTGCTTTTCCATCGCAGCGCCAGGAGCTCGGTACACACTGGTTAAGTCGATCTGCACAGCTAAACTCTGTCGTCCTACATGTTCTGGCAGCTACGGGGGAAATACACAAAAGGCCGTTAAGACTACATAATCGTCCGACTGAGGGATTGTTGGGATTAATTAATCATTTCAACCTCTTTATTTTGAGAAGCGTCGTTGGCTACTCACAGCAGGTACCAGGAAGTTCATCTGTTCCGTCGCCACAGTCGTCTGTACCGTCACACACCCATCTGATGGTGATGCATTTCCCGTTTCCACACTGGAACTGCCTGGTTCCACACGTAGTCAACGCATCTACAACACAGAGACATAAACAGAAAGTTCAGCTATAAGGGACTCTGTTTTGGTTTTCATCTATCAAGAATCCAACAACATGGGGCGCGCTGGTGGTACAATGGTTAGGGCGCGCGTCCCATGTGTTGAGACTCTCGTCTCGAGCGGTAGGCCCGGTTTCACTTCCACCCGTGGCCCCTTTCCGCATGTCGTTCCCCACTCTCTCTCCCTGGTTTCCAACTCTATCCACTGTCCTCTCTCTCTCTGGTTTCCAACTCTATCCACTGTCCTCTCTCTCTCTGGTTTCCAACTCTATCCACTGTCCTCTCTCTCTCTGGTTTCAGACTCTATCCACTGTCCTCTCTCTCTGGTTTCTGACTCTATCCACTGTCCTCTCTCTCTCTGGTTTCCAACTCTATCCACTGTCCTCTCTCTCTCTGGTTTCCAACTCTATCCACTGTCCTCTCTCTCTCTGGTTTCAGACTCTATCCACTGTCCTCTCTCTCTCTGGTTTCTGACTCTATCCACTGTCCTCTCTCTCTCTGGTTTCTGACTCTATCCACTGTCCTCTCTCTCTCTGGTTTCAGACTCTATCCACTGTCCTCTCTCTCTCTCTCTGGTTTCTGACTCTATCCACTGTCCTCTCTCTCTCTGGTTTCTGACTCTATCCACTGTCCTCTCTCTCTGGTTTCTGACTCTATCCACTGTCCTCTCTCTCTCTGGTTTCTGACTCTATCCACTGTCCTCTCTCTCTCTGGTTTCCAACTCTATCCACTGTCCTCTCTCTCTGGTTTCAGACTCTATCCACTGTCCTCTCTCTCTGGTTTCAGTCTCTATCCACTGTCCTCTCTCTCTGGTTTCTGACTCTATCCACTGTCCTCTCTCTCTGGTTTCAGACTCTATCCACTGTCCTCTCTCTCTCTGGTTTCAGACTCTATCCACTGTCCTCTCTCTCTGGTTTCTGACTCTATCCACTGTCCTCTCTCTCTCTGGTTTCTGACTCTATCCACTGTCCTCTCTCTCTCTGGTTTCTGACTCTATCCACTGTCCTCTCTCTCTCTGGTTTCAGACTCTATCCACTGTCCTCTCTCTCTGGTTTCTGACTCTATCCACTGTCCTCTCTCTCCCTGGTTTCTGACTCTATCCACTGTCCTCTCTCTCTGGTTTCCAACTCTATCCACTGTCCTCTCTCTGCATTAAAGGCACAAAAAGCCCAAAAAATACATCTTAACAAAAAAAAAAAAAGAATCCAACAACATGATTCAAATTAAAAAAAACTTCATTTGTCCCCGGGGTGCAATTCAAAGGCACACAGAGCAGTAAATTAACAACAGTGCAGGTAGACGAGGTATGGCTCCCTATAAACAAAGAGGAAGCTGCATTTAAAGGAAAGTTTCATTAATTAATTATTACAGAAAAACGCGATAAATCAAGAACAGAAAGGCGTGTTAGCTTCTCTGTGACACTCTACTTAACAGTGCTTTGGGCTAGCAGTGCAAGCATCACAATTCCATCACTTAACTTTTTGCTAAGTGTGCTAGCATGCTAACACTTCTGAGGCTGATGGTAATATCAAACTTGTTTGAACGCCTATTTGGTATTAACTATAAAGTATTTCATTAAATATAGGACAATGACTTGATGATGGCGCTAAAGGGAAAATGAAACCTGAAGGGACCATGAACATCTGGAGAAGATTTGTCAAAAATCCATCAAAGAGTAGTCAGGACTTTTCACTCAAATGCACTTGAGGAACAACCTGGAGGTCACTGAAGTCAGTTGGATTGATCTTCTGGGGACCGAGAGAATGTGGGCCAAACTGAATGGCAATAACCAAATTGGATGCTGACATGCCTCAAAAACGAAACAAATGAACAAAATGTCACCTTACCATGTAGGTGGGGGAAAGTTAGCGGATTATTAAAGTGGAATTGGTAAGCTTTTCTTTATCCTCTGGAAACACTTTGAATCTGTACCAAATTTGATGGCAATCAACTCAAAAACAATCACACCAAAAACATGAATGTCAACATGTGAAGACAGTCAGATTGATCCCAGGGGGAGAATGAACATCTGTACCAATTTGATTGGCTTCAATACATCTTATTGTTGACAAGACATGCCACAAAAAAACAGAAATTTCAACCAGCTGGTAGAAAAGGCTCAGGGGATTACAAAAGACATTCGGGTTTATATACGGCAGCCAGTGTCACAATTGACAGCAATCGATTCATAACAGAATAAATTCCTGGAAAATGACAATAATGTAAATCTTTTGGCTGTTTAAGAGGAACGTCCAGGAGGAAACACAACCTAAGTTTATTCTCGTCACCAACACTTGTTGAAATGTCGAATTTGAGACTTTTATGAAGTTGGTTTAAGTTCACATTTGAAGCCTCCGTCAGGTTTTATCGCATGTATGGGAGGGGCTGTGTATTCAAGGATGGCAATAAATCTGCTTCCAGAGGAGAAAGGGAGCCGGGAGGTAATCACTCTGACATGACACACACATGCACAACCCCACACGTGCCTGGTATTTGTTTAAACAGGGGGCAGATAAATGGTCCCGCTCTTAGTCAAACATGGATACTGTACGTTTTGATAACAGCCCACCCTGCGTTTATCTGGCTTTGCTGACATCACAAGGTCACAACGACAATATATCAGATATTCCAGTTTTCATGGTGCCTGATGGAAAAAAAATTAAATTGCTGAAGACTCAGAGCCGCCCTCCCAACCCCCATCGCCAATGCCCCCGATAGAGCCACTGAACTGGAAGAACCAATTAGACTGTACAGCAGAGAAACAGCACTTCATGAAAAAGTACTCCAGGCTATTCCTCCCTCTGGGCTCCAGATCCTGGATCGCCACCTGTTTCTGAACAAGGGGGGGCAGAGGGAGGTGTTTACCCCACCACAAGGAAACACCCACCAGGAGCTCGCCATTTAGCATCTCCATGTCCACATACAAATTATTTATTTAAAAAATAAAGAAGGATTTAAAAAAAATCATTAAATATGAATGGGTGGGTTTTCATAAGCTTCTGTCCAACTCATGAATTATTCACTGCTCTGTGTGCCTTACAGAATAATAAATCCTTCATGGTGAAGTCAAACATCTGTTGTTGTCGTCATGGCCGGCGCTCTGGCTGTGGTTAAAAGGTTACTTAAAAAGGTGTGTTTTTAAGCGGCTGCCGGTTGAGGATGTTTTTACCCATGTTGTAGTATTTATATGGCTTCAAACGAGAGTTAACAGTCGCTTTAGTGTCATAGGTGTGATGTAAAAGATCCACTTCAGACTGTTGAACCAATCGTTCCTTCACAATATGAGAAAGCGGTGTGTGTTATTGCCCTCGCCATAAAGATAATTTTCATAAAGATAATGTTTCTGTTGACCAACCCTGTGACCCAGAAGAGATCAAATACAGTCCAAGAAACTCAGAGTCATTCGGCTTTAAGTTGAATGTTGGGAAATAGAGGAAAGGGAAAAACACCAACATGATCTGGTCTCATTCCATGAAACCGACGACTCGTTACCTAAAATCAACTCTGACCGGCTGTTTGCTTAAAGGGCTTAAAGTTCAGACCTTGGCAGACGAACTGGACCAAACGGCAGCCGTATTGATTTAGTGCAAAATCAGTGACGGCCTCTGTTTGTTGCCCAGTCTGTGACATGCAGTGTATTTTAATTTTGAAGCCATCGGGGGTGCAGAGACACCCCCTAATCCTTCAAAATCAGACTTCTCTTTCTCGTCATAAATCAGCTCAAAGTCTATTTCTCAGCAGGCGACTATTTCCCAACATTTTTGGACGGACATGTTTCATCACCACGCACATCTGTGGGCGTGTTGTTGAAATGTGTGTGTGTGTGGGCGACAACCAGTTCTAACATGTTTCACCACACACCGTTTCCCAGAACCAACATACTGGGAACCCGTCTGACGGTGACTTCACATCAAACCGGGTGTACAACCAAAAACTTGAGGAATGTCGCAGCAGGACAAAGCCTGTGTGTTTGAACTGGAGGATGAGGAGTTGGAGGGGTTCCATTCATAACCACAATACGGGGCGTTTAAGGTAATGGGAGAAAAACAAGACTCCTGTAAACACGCTGGATGTAGCATCATGTATGAAAACAGATTCACCCAAAATGTTTTTTCCTACTGGTGGGTTTTCTGCAGGGATTTAAAGTGGCGCCCATTTCCCACATTATTAATGGCTTCAAAAATGTGTCTTTTTTTTTCTTCTCAGAAATCCCGCTTGATATCTTTGCACAGTCTGTATTCACACTGCTACACTCTCATTGGCTGCACGGCCTGCTGAGCGCCAGTGTATGAATGAAAAGCACAAAACATTCAGCTCCATTCAAAAACCGGCATGGAGTGAAAAAAAAAAGAAAAATGGTTGCTCTCCTTTAAATGAAAATCACTGTGAGTCAAAAAAAAAGAGGTTAACTGTGATACTGAGTTATATTTATTAAATTTATAGGAATGATGCAATTGAGTAGTTCCAAAACAAAGCAGATAACATGATTTGTGATGCAAAGAAAGTTGTTTTACTTTTGATTATTTTGGATTATTGTCCCCTCACATGATTCATAATTCCTATAATGAAATATGTGGTTGAGTGGGGGGTAAAAAAAAAAAAACCTCATTGTGCTGGAAACAGCGAGAGGAAGAAATTTGACCTACATTGTGAGAATAATTGCGCCCTCCCCCCCTTCACCTTGCATCCTGTACTGTCAGAGGAGTGGGCATTTGTAAACCCACACCTCTCTGAACACTTCAACAAAATCACATTTTAAACACATGCATGTAGAAAATAACACAAAGCTGAAGCATGGCACTGGTTTTAAATGGGATTAAAACGAATGCCAAGCGCAATAAAAAGCTAATTAATGACATAATTGGATGAATAAAAACACACTTACATGTCTGAATGAGGGAGCAGAAGAGGAGCAACAAGGAGGCGATGCGCGGTCGGCCCATGTTGTCCAGCCGAACTGGAAGCTGCATGTAGCTACACTGATCTTAAAGTAGTAATAATGATAATATTAAAGTCAGAGATGTTGCTGCTGCTGTTTGGCTCTGAAACAGTGAAGTCAGAAGGTCTCTAGTTTATGCCTCCGATTGCTCTGCTGCGTTAGAGATGGTCGTGCTGAAGGACCTGAGGAGGGATGCTCGGCACACTGTAATGTTTGACAACAACATCAGAGCCATTTCAATGTGGTCCAGCGGTGGGCGGGGCCACGAGGGGCCGTGAGGGGCCCCGGAGGGGAGAGGGCGGGCTCTGCAGTGGTGTGATTTCTGAGGCACACAGCCCAAACAATCCGGCGGGCGGAGTTTGAAGAGATCGCTTTTTTACTACGATTAACCCTTTCAGAGAGTTAGCAGAGATGTGCAAGTTAAGTGTCTGGAGAATAAAATACAAATAAACTGGGTCATTTTTTTTACATTATGTTAAAAACCTGGGTGGCTTTGTCCTCAGGAGCCTCACAGTGGAATATCTATGGAAGCCCAATGCTACCAGAACAATATATTTTTTTTAAACTTACCGTAAAAGTTAAAATCCCTTAATCATCAGTTATAATTATCAGATAAAAAGTTTAAATTTTGAGATTTAATTCACAATTTCGGGATCTCAAGATGCTTATAAGAAGTTAGTATGGGAGTCCAAAGCTGCCAGTACGACAATTTAAAACTTTCATCTTTATTTAAATTAAATAAACTTGCCTTACCAGATAAATAAAGGGAATGTAGATATTGAACTGACACTTAGCCTCTGTGATTTCACCGAGTGATTCCTGAAGGGGGCGCTTGAAGCCTCGATGGTGGTCACCATATTGCAATTAGTGTCTCAATCTATTTTTCAGTCGTCCAATGACCAGGCTAAGAGCTGGAGCTGAGGTGAGTCTTAAGCCTCCTGACAAACAGCTACAACACACCCGCCTGCACGTCAGTCAGTTTACATCATTTTAAAAACCTTTATTCTTCATTAAAAAAAATGGAGTAGTTGTAAAAACAATCGTCCCTCGTACAGTGTGTGCGGATAAAGGCTTAAGCTAGCCAGATCATTTTCGTTCTTTGAACCAGGCTGTAAACATGTTTATTTCTGCTTTAAAAAGTGACACTTTTGAATGGGTGTGTATGTGACTTCTGAGGCTTCTGCAGCCGGCCTCTGGTGGACTCTCAAGGAACTGCAACTACTGCACTTCCCAATTATTTTAATTTTTCAACACCGGCAGTGGCTGCTTGGTTTGAGGATATCATTAAGTCTTTGCAAGTAAAAAAAGAAACAAACAACTAGAAACACATGAAAGAATATTTAGGCAAACCATTTTGTTTTCTTTTTAAGACAATGTGTCTTTTACCTCAAACATGGTGAAGTATATTCTGTATATTGGAATTGTTTTTGAACATTCCTCTTGTTTGTGTCAGATCTGTCCTCAGATCTGTTTCACTCGTGTTGATTCTGTTACAAAAGCGATAAGAATAAATAAATAAGATGACCCCCCCCCCCAAGTGGACTGATTCAACATCAACACTTTGTCCCCTGACGTGTCCTGTGACGGTCCGAATGTCTGGCTGCTGACCAAGTGGACACTCAATATTTAAATAACCAAACAACCCGGGTTAGCACACTGCAATGGTCCACTTTTTGTTTTTTGACTTATTCAACACATGTTTTTAACCTTCTATGAAGACACACACAACAAGTCGACTGACTGAGCAGTGAGTTAACACCTGATTATAAAACAATAAAAGTACTCCTCACTATCACAGCTTCCTCTTCTCATAAAAACAGCGTGTTATGTTAGGGGTCAAAGTCTTCAAACTGAGCCGGGTTAGCATCAAGTTTACTTCAGGGGAGGCGCGGAGATAAAGTACAAAAAGATAAAAACAAAAGGATAGTAAATAGATAAAAACCTGAAAACAACCGTGAACCAAGCAGAGAACATAGCTTTTCAGTTCAGGAGTTTGAATGAAAAGGTGAAATAATCCAGATGTTTGTTTTCAGAAGACTTCATGGAAGAGAGGCGATGTTTTGGACCTCCAGCGGGATGAACTTCTGCTCCGTCATTGACGTAAATAAATACATTGACCCCGTTTCTATCACAGGAAGGTTACATGTTCAGATAACACCTGACCCCCTCACAGACCCCTGGATGGTTTTTTATCATCCAGGTCAGATTTTATCCTGAGTGACCTTCATTGCTGCTCCAGATAAATGTACACTAAGGAATCATAAACATGCTCATGTGTATGTCCAGTTGACCCGAACACGTGACAGACCCTCCAGAGTGAAATAAAAAACATCTGGTCGGTAATAACAGAGTCGGGTTTCCTCTGAAGATCTGCCTCACAGAAGCTATACACATGGATCGAGGCCAAGGCTGTCACGCTGCCGCCATAAAATATGAACCGCTAGAAACGAGTCTGCACCAGGAGTGTGTGGAACAGATATACAGCACGGATTCTCTGTACATACTTTATATAAATGGAAAAACAGATTCATGGAAAAAGACCTCAAGTGGACAGAAAAGCCCAAAATCAAAAACATCAATTCTTATAGCTTCCAATAACAACGAAGGTTATCTTATGGCTCCCATAATTAAACTCCAGAAATCAGTAATTCATAAAGCTGGTTACTATGAATCAGAAGGACTTGAGGGATCCGCATTAAAGGTCCAATCAGTGAGCTGTGTAGAGAGTGAGATGATAAAGGTATCTTACTATCTGATCATTAAGGAAACATGCTATGTTGAAGTGCTGGCTTCTCTGACAACAATGCAGCAGCCAGTATGTCCTCCTTCTAACTTTAGATTCTGCTCCTGAATGATCTGGATTTGTTTGGACCAGAGAAGGTAGGCGCTTTTAAGACACCCCACACGGCCGTTTTGGACGCCGCACGTAGATATGAGAGCAGTTATCAGGTCAACAGGTGTTGCAGTGATGGAAGCGGTCAAGAGAAGTGGTTCAGATAGAAGTGATTGTACCCGACCTAAAAAGCCTCTGCATGTTTCTAATAAGCTCCACGAGCAGAAACGTGCTCAAACTAGGATCAATATTGGAGATGCTTTTGAAAAATGGAGAGAGGTTAGAACACAGAAAGGTTTACAGACCCATGCAGAGCTGGATCAACACTGAAGCTTCAGAGTCCACCACATGGTGACCTGAGTGAGGATGGACTCTAGAGAGGGGGGGGGGGACAGCTCTCTATGATGTTTAGAATTTAGACTGCAGTACCATTTTAAACACTAGTGGTCAGAGTTACATACTGCTCCTTTAATTTAAATTTACTTCATAACAACATAAACCTCCTCACAGGAGCTTTAAGGATTTGATCCCCTGAACCTTTGGTGCATCATTTTCTCTCTTATAAATTGTAACATTACTCAGAGCTGCATGAATAAGGTCACAAAGTAATTAAACGGTCGCTCCCTTTAAATAAAATATGCAAATAAAGAGTCGTCAGAAACAGTTCAAGCCCCTTTCAGTGACCCGCCCACATGTAACCCCACCGTACTGCACAATCAGCTCCCTTTTAATATGAAGTGACATGGAATTTTCTGGCCTCTGCAGAAAAAAACTGGGTCCTTTGGGTGACCGACTTAGAAACATGGACTGTTTCTGAACTGTGCCGGAGTTAACCTCCAACTTCCTCATGAGCCCGCGTCCTCCATGAAACGTTGATTGAGTCCTGGAGGATCCCTCGTCAGAGATAATAAAGAGCGGGAATGGAAACAAAAGTGCAGGTGAGGTGAAAGTAGAACACACCCCTCCACGTCGACTGCTGGACGATTTACGCTAAAACCTCCTCACCCGGGCCTTTGTAAACAGTTTCTTGTTCTTCCAGTATGTGACCCCCCCCTCGCACAAACCCGGGGCCCTTTTCACATTCGCCGCTCCTGCTGACAAAACAAACAGAGCGCTGGCTGCAACCGATTTTCTGTCTCTGTCTCTTCCCTCTGAAGGTCAAATCAGGTTTTCCCACAAGCACTTACACATGTTTCTGGCTGCAGCTCAAGCCGCCACATGGGGGTTCAGAGCAGGGAGGGTTTCGGTTTCTGCAGCCGACTCAACAACACATTTCTGGCTTTGTGTACGTTAATTTAAATATTTTTGAAGTCATTTTGAGAGTGAAGCCATCCATCATCTGCAGAGAAAAAACGCCAGAGGACACATTCCTGTAAGGCCGTGTCGTCATTGTGGGGAGTGGATGCGTGGAAAGGGGAGCGCCGCTCAATCAAGAAAAAAGCTGAAAAAAAAGAAAATGAGACGGACAATATTTACTTTATTGATCCCCATGAGGGAAATTTCAGTTTTTACACTCTGTAGTCATGCAACACACACATAGTATATACATACATGCACACAAACAGGATCATATAGACATGCACTAATGGAGAGATGTCAGAGTGACGGAGCTGCCCACAGTGGGTGCTCCTGAGCTGATGGTGGGGAGGGGGTTTGGTGCCTTGCTCAAGGGCACCTCAGCAGTGCTCAGAAGGTGATCTGGCACCTCTCCAGCTACCAGACCAACTTCCAAGCTTGGTCCGCACTGGGACTTCCAACCCAAGTCCTTACAGACTGAGCTACTGCCGCCCTCAAAATCAATAAAATAAATAAATGGATTTGTATTAGTGTAAAAGTGTCTGAAGACATAAAGACTGAGTGAGAGTCCTTGGATGTGCGTCCTGCAGGGGGCGCTGGAGTCCCATCGATGGCGGTCTCCATGCTGGAAATGCTGTCTCAGTCTAACTTTCAGTCAACCTAACGACAGGCTGAGAGCTGGAGCTGAGGCGGGTTTTAAACCTCCTGACAAACCGTTACACGCGCCCACTTGTCAATCAGGTCAGCTACACGCCTTATTGTGAATAACTCTTATCCTTCATCAAATCAAAACTGATGAGTCATCAAAACATTCACCCCCCGTACAGTGTGTGTCCATCCAGACATGAGCTAATCACACCTATTTGGTTTTTTGAACCAGGCTGTAAACATGTTCATCTCTGCTGTAAAAACAGGCTTTTTAGAATGGGTGTGTATGTGACTTCCTGTGCTTCTGCAGCCAGCCTCTAGTGGACACTCCAGGAACTGCAGGATTTTACACTTCAGCATCGGCTTCATTCTTGCAAGAAACTTGATAAAAACATTGAGTATTTTCTGGAGGAACACATCCTGTGAGTCATGAAAAAAACCCAAATACAAACATTGACACAGGAAACGGGGTCTGCAGACACACACAGGGTAACAGTTCCTCTAAAATCTAAAATCTAGAAACAAAGGCGAGAGAAATCCCCCACGGAGCGGATCTAAACTCCCTCATGTTTGTGCAGGTGTTGGGGCACTTGCCCCTCGATGCTCACGTGCAGGAGAGAGTAGGATGAATGTGTGTCAGGGTCAACGAGGGACCTTTGTGTAGAGAGGGAGGGAAGCGTTCATAAAACAAGATCAAGAAGATAAAAGATGACATGTACCACCGGGGATGCTGCTGCAGAAGCACTGGAGGAAGAAACACCCACACGTGCCCGGACCCTGAGCAGAGAAAATGTGCTCTGAGACAACGGTCCTTGGAGCCCCCCTAACATAAACTGAGACCCCACAGAGTAGGTCTACACACACACGTCTTCTTACCAGACGAGCAGGAAGTGTTTAATCATGATTTAAGTTGTCATTTCATTTTTTTTATTTTTCCGTACATGTCAAAACACAACAGAAAAAAAAACAAAAAAAACGATTCAGACTTTATGGTGAAGAATACATCTTGTTTTGCCTGCCCCCCTTACTCAAAAAGTAAACAATACATTTCTGGATGGTCTGTCTAATTACAATCTATGAATGAATACCAACATAAAACAAATCGAACAATTCAGTCTTCACTTCCTCAGAAACACACAAAACACACTAACTGCCAATGTCATACAGTCTGATAACTTTGTTCTTATACATTTTCTTAAACTGAAATATTTGAACACAGCCCTTCAAATCATTATTCAAAGATTATTTAAAAGTCAATATATCGTCATCATTAATATAATTCTTGATCACGTTTGAGTTGATTTTAAATAGTTTCCCTTCTCTCGTATGTCATCTTCCTCGTTAGATCTGTTTTATAATCTGTGCGTCAGGATGGATGTCGAACACGTCTACCTACAGGTAAACATAAAGTCACCTGAACCTGAACCTGATGTATGCAAACCTAATCTGACGACCTCAGAGCAGATAAAGCCTTGCGCCCCCTCCGGACCCCCCAGGTTAGGAAGCAATGCTCCAAGAAGCATTAACCAAAAACCCATTTCTTTATTTATTTTGTTGGCTATTCTTCCCGGGCTCCAACCAAGCATCAACCCATGACTTCAGCTACATCTGATCTCTCAGATTTTTCGTTGAACTCCATATTTGTTTATTTTATTTTTTTAACGTCTTATAAAGCGGAACACAACGTTAACATTTTTAAAAGCAAACTCAAAACCTACCTCTTTAGTAGAACTTTTAACTGAATCTCATTTCATCTAGTTTTTTTTACATTTTGAACCTCCTGTGTTTCCTCATTTAGAATAAATGATAGCGTTTCCTCAGCACTATTCTTATCTAGTTATTTTTACCTTAGTTTTTGTATTGTGGGATAAGGGGGGTGGGGGAGAGAGTCATGCTGTCGCTGTTTGATTAAATGTTGATGTAAAGCACTTTGGGATACATTTGTTGTATGTAAATATACAAATAAAGTTTGATTGATTGATATAAATGTTGTGAACTTTGGGGATGTGTCGGTGTTGGAGTAATTATAACATAAAGGTGATGAACGCTGCTCAGTGGGGCCCCGTGTGAGGTTTGCCTTTAGGGCCCCACCAAGAGTCCAGAATCACCATGACAACCAGCTTCATTTATAAACCTGCCTGAGCTTAGAAGGCCCTCTAGTGGACAGACAGGGTCAGTGCAGACCAGACAAAGTGGAAACCACACACACAAAGTAATCATGAGATGCCTTTATTGTAGTTTTTTGGAATCCAGTGACACTGACACGAGAAGAGGGTCCTATCCCTCCCTCCCCCAATTCATACACAACCTGAGAGGGAGGGGCTGCAGGGGCGGGACGTACCGTGATCCCGCTTGTAGTCTTAAATTAAACACAGATAATAGCGAAGACACATCCAGGTGCTTTTTTTTTTTTTTTTTTTTCCTCCGACAGACACGCACGACATGCATTCAGAAAAAAAGGGGGACTTCATGTTACACAGTTTTCCCTCCTGCTTCACGTGTCTCAAAGAAAAGACGACAAAATGAACAGCACTTAAAAAAACAAAAAAGAAAAACAGTTCGGTGTCTTTATGGCCCATGCTCAGTCGATTATTCAAACTCTGTCCATTTTCCACTTACAGGAGAAAAGAAAAGAAGGTAAAGAGACACTACTATTCATAATGTGGGGGGGGGAGGGGAGGGGCAATGGTTTAAATATGGAAGTGGACTTCATATTTTTAACTGGTTTTTAATAAATGGTATACTTTAATGAGAATACAATAGTCTCACTAAAAATCAGCTCATCTAGGTAAAACTAGGCCTGTTCACAAACTGACTCCCTGCTGTATCTAAGTAAAATATATAAAGTCCAGTCAAGGGGGCTCAGGGGGGGGGGGCGTTGGTCCGATCAGGAGCGGGGGCTCACTTCAGTCCTCGTCGCTGCCGCTGGCCGAGCGCTCCTGAGGAGAAGGAAGAAGGAAGGAGCGTTAAAGAAACCACCGACACAGCTCAGCCTGAGACTTTTTAAATTATGCCTCATTTTAACGTCTCATTCCTGCAAATTAAGGAGGGGGGGCACAGCTGGGGGCACTTTGGATCACCTTTGACCCCCTTCACCGTGGGTAAACCTCTCCGGTTAAAAAAAAGTCTTGATTTCTGGATAAATCCTGACAAATCACACTGCTTCTGTGTGACCGTGACTCACCTCTTCTTGCTCCTCCTCACTGTCGTCGTCGCTCACCACAGGTTTAGCTCGAGCGCCGCGGCCTCGCCGTCGCTGCCCTTTACCTCCTCGATCTCCTCGCTCTCCTTTCTCTTTCCGGCTCAGCTTGATCTTCACCTTCACTGAACGAGCTGACAGAGAGAGAGAAGATGGTTAACTCTTTTAATTCTCAGACCCCTTCACTCCCTCGGCTCGATGATGTTTGTGACGCTCACATTCAGACTCGGAGCCCTCGTCCGGCTCGTCCTCCTCTTCCTCGCTCTCCTCTCCTTCGCTCTCGTCCTCCTTCTCGATCTTCTGCCGCACGCTGGTGAAGACGGACTGCAGCACGATGGAGTCCTCGTAGATCTGAAAGGTTTGCACACACGATAGGTGTTAGAATCAGAATCAGAATCTGGGTTTATTGCCAAGTACATTTACACATAGAAGGAATTGACTTGGTGTATTGGTGTTAAACAATTAACAAGGAAATAAAGCAGAACTAGCAACAACTTAAATAATACAGAATAAGAAGATATTACAAAATAAAATTTAAAATGTAAAAAAATAAAAAACACAAAATGTACTAAAGGTGCAATGTAGGAGCTGTGCAGTGGACTATGAGAAAACATTTTTTAATTAAAAGTTATTAATCATTCTTCTTCTACTCTCGTTTCAATGTGACTGTGCGCTCTCGTCTTTGCTCACCAGCGACCCCTCCAGGTTGAAGGTCTGTGCGTTTTGACACAGCAGCATCACGTCCTTTTCCAGGTCGTTCAGGCTGCGGTACTTATGGCTGCGGATCCTCTCCTGATGGAGCACAAAGCAGCCGTCAGAAATAAACATTCATTAACCCTCATGCATCATTATGGACATTTTGGTCCATTTGGTCAAATGTTTCCTCTTCATCTGGTCATCATTTTGTCTGTGTTAGTGCATATGGCACCATTTTTTGTAAGACAGTCTCTCTCTTGACACATTGTGGAACGCACATTTGTTTTTTTTAATAGATCAACAGAACACTGAAACATGTTTACTACCCTCTGAAGTCATTAAGGACAAAAATGTCCACTTCTGCTATAAAAATAGGACAGATTGATATCTTTTTCTACTTTTTTCTGCATAAATCTCTTAAACACCTCTAGCCCTGCTCAAAACTATCAAACATTGAATAATTAACAGGAATTAACCCTTTAAATGCCAGTTTGATTACATGAGTCTGGTATTTAAAGGGTTAAATTCCTAAAAATGATTAAATGTTTGGTAGTTTTGAGCAGGGCTGAAGTTGTTTAAGAGATTTATGCAGAAATCTGTTTTATTTTTAAAGCAGTTTTTTGTCACATTTTTTGTCCTTAGTGACTTCAGAGGGTCGTAAATTAAACGGATGTCTGAGGGTTAATTTGATCTAACCACACAGAGCGAGCGTGTCGGCGTCTCTCTCACCTTGATCTTCCTGAAGTCGACGGGCTTGCGGATGAGCTCGTAGTACTCGGCAGCTCTTTGCGAGATGGCAGCTGGATGAAGACTTCGCTTAGCTGTCGGCCGTTACTCCTGAAAAACAAAACAAAGGTGAAGTGTTAATGTGAATCACTGCGAGAAATAAAACCTCCGAGTCTAAAACACGACATCATGATGTTAGTCTCCTAACCCGTCTTTATACTTGATGACAGCATCCACGATCTTCTTCATCTTCTTGGTGAGCGACTGAGGGTTGGGCGAGAGCTTCTCGGCCGGCGGACGCCCGCGCTTCTTCGCCTTCTTCCCCTCGTCGTCTTTGTCCCGCCCCCGGCCGCTGCTGGAGCTCGGCGTGGCCGGACCGCCGTCGTGGTCCCGGTCTCTCTTGCGCTTCCTGGTCGTCTTTTTGTGACGCACCTCCTCCTCGATGTCCTCCAGATTTCCCTCCTCGATGGCCTGTGGGGGAGGAGAAGCGATCAGGTCCAAACTCGTCTCGTACTTTTTTTCTATTTTTTAAAATTATCCTCCAAGCGGGCGGCCCGGGTTCGAGTCCAACCTGAGGCTCCTTTTCCTGCATGTCATTCCCTACTCTCGCTCTCCTTGATTTTCGACTCTATCCACTGTCCTATCTCTCCATTAAATTCACAAAATGCCCAAAAAAGAAATCTTGAAAAAAAGAAATGATCAAAATGAACGTCCCACCTTGAGCCACTGTTTCTCCGTGAGCGAGTCGCTGTAGTCCACCTCTTTACGTTGGCGGGATCCTCTTCCAAACATCTTCTCCTCCTCCTCCTCGCAGGTCAGCCGCTCCACCTCGGCGTCGTCCTTCAGGATCCAGCTGGGCATGTCGTCCTCCTCCATCAGACGCGGTTTCCTCTTGGGGTTACGCGCCTCCTCGCGGCGTCTGTCCAGATCCATACGCTGGAATTTTGTTTTAAATATATCCGTCAGGTCAGAGACAACACAAAGACAACTCCAGTTAATGTTTGAATGATTCATGTCGAAGGAGGTCAAACCATGAACTGCTCAAACTCCTCTTCACTTCGGGCGATCATCTGATTGACGGTCTCGTCGTCTGGGACTTCATCCTCCTCCTGCGGGACAAAAGAGACGAGTGAGTACGAGGAGACAAACCTCCTGACACCTCAGAGCCACGCCTCTGACCTCATGACTCTCATGAACCCGTAAGAAGAAAAACTGAACATGTATGTGTGCACTGAAAAACATCACTGTGTATCCATGAGGTGACTTTAAAGCCTCGCTCCAGTGTGATTCAGCTTCTTCATGTTTCACACATTTCTCAGTGTGCAAAGGTTTTAACATGTGCACAATCAGTCAAGTTCATGAACCTTTAAAGAAATCTTTCTCTGCATCCAATCTGTGTTTCTAAAAGATTTACTGAACGTCTGCTGGTTTCTTTCCTGGAGTGAGACTTTATTGAAATGAAATGAACGATGCAGAAAGAGAAAGAGGAGAAGAAGAGGAGCTCGGACTGATGAAAATATCCTGAGGAGAAAAAGAAAAAAAAAAAAGGAGACAGAGGAGGAGGAGATGGAAAAACAGAGATTGAGGAGGTGGTAAGCGCACAGGTGGATGTGGGTGGGTAGGGATCTGATCACTTACACCGACCCACGCCCCCCTAGTGCGGTCGCCTCCTCGAGTCCCGACCTCGTCCTGTTCCTCGTGCTCCAGAATGGCCTGCAAGAAGGCGCGGCGCTCGCATCCCGACGACTTCTGGTCGAACATGCCGGCCTGGATGACCTTCTGGTCCACGTTCAGTTTGTACTTGGCCGCCGCCAGGATCTTCTCCTCCACACTGTTGACGGTGCAGAGGCGGAGAACGCGCACCTCGTTCTGCTGACCGATGCGATGAGCTCGGTCCTGAGCCTGCAAGTCCTGGAGGAGGAGACGGAGGAGAGGATGTGTTTAGACTTCACATCACAACTCTCCAACACTGACGCCGCAGAATATTTATATCAGACGGTTTCATCACCGTGTGGGCTCTCTCTTATTTCAACATCTGTTCTTAAGAGTACCTCTGAGTTCTACCCCTTACAAAGCACCTTCTCTCCCTCCCCTTCTTTCACTTGCATCCTTTCTTAGGTATTTCATATAGTTTTGTAATGTATTTGCTGGTTGTAGTCTGATGTGTGTCTCTTGATGTCTTAGTATTTTACTGTCTTTATTTGTTTATTTTACTGTATTTCGGAGTTGTTGTCCTGACCTTGTCTGTTTGTTTTTTGTGCCTCATTTGTTATGTATATGTCACTCTATAGTATATATATATATATAGCAGAGACAAGAAAACATATTTATATTTTCATTTCATTGTACAGTGTTCCCCTTTGTTATTTTTTGTATTATATCTTTGCTTTAATACAGTGTATAACTTCTGTACAGTTTATTTTAATTTACTTAACTGTTACTACAACTTATTATTTTTTAAATTTAATTTGTAATTTTTACTTTGTTTTTCTCATAATGTTATTCTATTTTATATATAATTTTAACTTTTTTGTAGAAGCTGACTCAGGGAGAAACACAAAATTTCCAATGTACCTGTACTGTCCTGTACCTGTGCACAATAAACATCTATTCTATTCTATTGCACCTAATAAAAATAAAAAAGAAGATAAAAAAAGAGTACCTGATGAGGGTTCCAGTCGCTGTCAAAGATGACGACTGTGTCAGCAGACTGCAGGTTCAGACCGAGACCTCCGGCCCTGGTGCTGAGCAGGAACACAAAGTAATCAGAGGCCGGGTCGTTGAAGGACTTCAGCAGCATGCCGCGATCCTCCGCCTTGGTGGTTCCTGTCAGAGGACAGAAGGTCAGAGCGTTAAGAACGTTAAATCAGAATCAGAATCTGGGTTTATTGCCAAGTACATTTACACATACGAGGAATTTGACTTGGTGTATTGGTGCTAAACAATTAACAAGGAAATAAAACAGAACTAGCAACAATTTAAATAATACAGAATAAGAAGCTAAAAAAAAAAAATGTTAATCCTAGATGTTTGATATGATCATGAGAGAGTAGAAGCTCCATGGAAACATTTTGCCTGCTGACGAGTGAGACGAGACGAGACTCACCGTCCAGACGCAGGTACTTGAAGTTACGGTAGGCGAAGTAGTCCTCCATGATGGTCATGAGCGACGTCATCTGACAGAAGAGCAGCACTTTGTGGTCGGTGGCCCTCAGCTTGGGCAGGATGCGATCCAGCAGCTCAAACTTCCCGGAGGAGCGGAACAGATCGGGACTGTAAACGGTAAAAGATCGGAAAAACAACGAGACGGGAATGAAGACAAAATCCATAAAATAACTAAACACGTGGAGAACCAGAAGTCTGAAACTTTACTCACCCGCTCACGACTCCACCAGAGTAACCGAGATGTTCAGAGAAAGACTCCTGTGAAGGAAACAAAGCGTGATCATGAAGTCATTCTGCAGCAGATTGTTGCTCATGTGTAAAAACATATGCAGAGTCTCGTCTTTACCTCGATGTGCTGGAACATGTACGGGTGGTTGCAGATCTTCCTCAGCTGCATGATAGTGTTCATCAAGGTCTTCGTACCACCTTTACCCTGAGGAACGAAACGAGGGGTAGAAACAAGATGAAGAGCTGCTCTTAGTGCACCGTTTTTAAAGTCTTTAAATGTGATTCTTCACACTTAAATGTAGAACTCAAGTCTATCCTCTGAAAATAACTCTGTGAGTCATGACTGTCTACAATGGGTGTAACACCCGAGTCCCACTGTCTGTGATGTTTTCAGAGTTTTCAGAGTCCTATCTTCACTTTGTTTACATCGCCAGGACGGCCGGCTGACTCCTCCCCTCGTGTATAAAAGTTGTTTAATTGAGGGACTAGAGAAAAGAAGAATAACATACTGTACTCACTGCTTAACTGTGTTTCTAGATCACGCTCATTTCAGGTAAATTTACATGCAGTGTGAAGATACCAGCATAATAAAGATCGCTAGCATTAGCATGCTAACACAACAATGCAGCGCAAGTTGTTTTGGTTTCATGCTGGAGCTCAAGGGCGACATCTGCTGGATCAAAACATCACATAAAGCCTTTCAGATTTATTTAAGAACATGATCTTCTTCTACTGTCGTACCTTCTTGTCTTTTTCCGACCCGTCTGTGAGCAGGACTCCTTTGGCCTGCATGTGTCGGTACAGAACCCTCTGCAGAGCCGACATGTCGCATTTGATCACATACTCCACCTGCACACCAACACAGAGGGGAAACAGGAGTCACACATGCTTAAAGGTAGAGTCAAGAGATTACTCCAAATGTTTGAAAGACATGCAGAGCGAGGATTAAAACAAGCAAAAAGATTTTTTAAATATGCTTGAGTTGATGTGTAGTAAACACATGACTAATTTAGGTCTCAGAGAAGAATCAAATCCTTGATGAAGCGATGGAGAGAACAAAGTGAACTCTGACCTTCTCAGGCAGCTGAGCCTCCACTTCTTTCTTGAGTCGACGCAGCAAGAACGGCCGAAGCACTTTGTGAAGACGTCGGATGATCAGAATCGTCTCCTCTTCATTCAGGTCGACCTGGAGGGAAAGGAGAGACGTGATGTCATGTTGCCTTACCACCCAAAACCAAGAAAATGGATCACATCAGTCCAGTTCTGAGGTCCTTACACTGGCTCCCAATCTGTCAGAGAATAGATTTTAAAATCCTGCTGCTGGTTTATAAAGCGCTTAATGGTTTAGGGCCAAAATACATTAGTGACCTCCTGATTCATTACGAACCATCCAGACCGCTCAGGTGGTCTGGGACAGGTCTGCTCTCCGTCCCCAGAGTCAGAACCAAACATGGAGAAGCAGCGTTCAGTTTCTATGCTCCCTATATCTGGAACAAACTCCCAGAAAACTGCAGGTCTGCTGAAACTCTCAGCTCTTTTAAATGGAGGTTGAAGACTCACCTGTTTACAGCTGCCTTTCATTAAACAGCTTTAATAAGATTTTAAACTTTAACTCTGCTCTGTAACTTTTAACTCTTTTTATATTTTTACTTCAATTCATTTAATTTGAATTATTTTTATTAATTTAATTTGAATTCTTTTTTATTAGTTTAATTTGAAGTATTTTTATCAATTTCATTTGAATTATTTGAACATATTTTCAGATTGACTAATAATGTTCTATTTTAATGTTTCTTTTCTTTCCTCTGTCATGATGCTTTTGATGTCTTGTGTGAAGCACTTTGAATCGCCTTGTTGTTGAAATGTGTGACATAAATAAACTTGCCTTGCCTTAACCAATCACAAAAAACCCCCGATCAGACTCACCTTCTCTCCGGTCATGGCGAAGGGTGCGTTGAACCACTGCTCGAACGTGTTGCAGCTCTTGAAGATGGTGGGCAGCAGGAAGTTGAGCAGCGCCCAGAGCTCGGGCAGCTTGTTCTGCAGCGGGGTTCCTGTGAGCAGCAGACGCCGCGGGGCCAAGTAGTGTGTGTTCAAGACCTGAGTCAGCTTACAGTGGTGGTTCTTCATACGGTGACCCTCGTCCACGATCATGTACTTCCAACGCAGCTGGGAGAGTGAGGAAGAGGAACAACAGACTGAAGGACAGACGCAAGAAGTCACATTTTGTATGCAAACTCAAAGTAAGCTCGTCAACATTTCGTCTTTACTTAAATACAACGTGTTTTAAGATGATACAATCTGAAGATTTTCATCATTAAAAAGAACAAAAGCTTTAAAAATCTTCAGTCGTATCTCTCTTACCAGAAGCTGCAGCGAACATAAAACAGAGAGAGGGAGGGAGGGGGGGGGGGGACGTTCAAACTCTCAGGTCGGAGAATATCAAGTCCTTTTGGAGTTTAAGGGTGCACTCAAAGTCTACAATCTGTACCGTGCCCAAGCTAATTTAACCCCTTAAGTCCACTTTGTTTGACCAGCTCTGGCACGGCTGGACGAGATGGGCTCTGGCACGGTACAGCTGGTCATGCACAAACAACAAGTATGTAACGTGGACACAACGCCACAAGGAAAGAATCCAGGAGAGGCTTTCTGACCGAAACAACTCAAATGTTGTTGATGTTTTTGTGCAGTTCAGACCTGTTTTGGTAACTTGTAACAAGAACTGACCCATTACTGGGTGTCTAGGTCTCCTATTTCTATTATTGTCGTATCTACACCTCTCTCTCCCCCCCCTCTCTCTCCTCTCTCGCTCTCTCTCTCCTTTTTAAAGTATCTTGAGACGTGTTATTAATTTGGTTTATACAGAGAAAGGTTTGATTGTATCAAACCTTGATATTCCTCCTTACCTTTGCCAGCACTTGTTTGTCTTTGATGATGTACTCGTACGTGGTGAGCAGCACGTTGAACTTGCCGCTGCGCAGGATGGGAACGAACGCACGGCGAGCTTGTGGAGACCCCTGAAATCAACACGAGTACATTTATTATGAATAGAAATAAACCCAGCTACGCTCGAGTAAGCTCTCATCTCATCGTCTCACTTTGACTGGACTGAAGCGGCACTGACCTTGTAGGAGATTTTGATGACAGATGGCGCCCACTTATCAAACTCATAGACCCAGTTTGACAAAGTTCTGAGAAGAGAAGAGATGAACTTTAAAAACACAAATGGTACTTATCAGTTTGCCTGATCGGGTGCATACCTGTTTTATTGTCTCTCTTTACTTTCTGAAAAACGTTTGTAACTTTGACTAGCTGCAAAACATGTTTCAATTTTGCTCTGAAGAAAAATTCAAATAAAAAACACAAATGGTTTCAGCTGTGGGGGAAAAGGCAGCGAGTGAAGGAGGAGAGCTCACGAGAGAGGTACGATGATGAGGAAGGGTCCGTTGAGGCGCTTCATCTCCATGAGGTAAGTGATGAGGGCGATGGTCTGGATGGTTTTTCCTAAACCCATCTCATCGGCCAGGATGCCGTTCAAGTTGTTGTTGTAAAGCGACACGAGCCACTCCAAACCTTTGATCTGAAAAAAAACAACAACATCCAGAGTCAGCCAGAGGAACATTTAACCCCGCCCCCTCCTCAATGTCCTGCTGTCTCTGTGTGAGTACCTGGTACTGCTTGAGCTGCCCGTTGATCAGCAGCGTCGACTGTTTGTCAACTTTCTCGGTGACGGCGTGAGCCACGGCGTAGTACGACTGCAGGCCTCGGTTGAAGCTCGCACTGCCGTACTCGTCATCCACGTCCTGCCGGGCGTGTCTGTGGGAGAAAACGCGGTCTTTATTAGTGTTTACATCGTGCACACCCGGGAGCTGCAAACAGCCCGAGCAAAGAAGAGTTTAACATCAATGCAGACCATATCATCCGGTGTATGAGATGCTCCTTTAACACCTGTTTTCTCCTCTAAAACGTCGGCTGCCTCTTATACACCACTGTGACTAATATAGCAGTATAAAATGCAGACAAACGCTCCGTCATTACCACGGGTGCAGCCGCCACCACCGCACGCCATGCAGTCTTAAAACTCATTTATTCAGTCTGGCTTTTATATAGTGCTTTATATAAGTTCAAATCTTAACATTATTTTATTGTCTTTTTTATCCTACTACAATTTTAAATATTCTTCTCCTATGTATTAATTTTAATATCTTGTTGCTTTTATGTGTCGTATTTTATTTTTTCATTTATATTTTTTTTAATTCTTATTGGTGTGCATTAGTCTCTCAATGATTTTATAAACTACTTTTTCATCAATAACTTTTCTGCTCTCTTGTAAAGCACTTTGAACTGCAATTGAATTTGTCTGAAAGGTGCTGTATAAATAAAGTTTGATTGATTGATCTGACACGACCCCCATTCACTGTGTATTGAAAAACATAGCGACACAGACGAGGCTGGACGCAAAACTCTTTAACATCTTTTCTCCCTCCATCAGGCATTTAAAGAAAACGGTGATTGACTGTTCAGTAAGTAAAGCCTGTGGAGCGCTCTCTTTTGAGCAATAGACTCCTTCTTTAACGTTAATGAGTGACCAGCGGAGTCGGGCAGAGAGCTCGGGGTCTGTGCTTCATATAGTTCCCTGCAGGCAGAGAGATCGTTTAGCGTACTGTAGCTAGTAGGAGAGTTAACTCCACAAAGAGAAAACAGCTGGAACTAAAAGAGCGACACAGCTGCAGAGCGACTGACTGTTGTAGACCTCGCTGAACACGATAGAAACCATCACACAGGACGACTGTTTCAACCTTTTTCTTTCTTGGAAACCTCTAAAAACAGTCTGCTTGTTTTGTGAAGGTGCGACTTATATTCTGGATTTTACGCTCACTCAGCAGAAGACACGTTAAGGAGACCTGAAGATTGTCTTTGTCAAATGTATTGTTGCTTTATAATCGTTGTTTTCAGACTCATTCAGAGTGAGATCTTACTCGATGATGTGCCGCACGTCCACCTCAGACACTTCTTCACTGTCGGGGTCGGGGATCTTCTTCTTCTCCTCGCTGGGAGCTGAAGACGGCTGAGGCTGCTCCTCGTCCTCGTCCTGAAACACAGAAAGGAAGAAGGCATGAAGTCTGCTGGAAGGAAAACTCAAAGTAGCTGTTTTGTTGTAGAAATCAGTGCAGGGGTTCACCTCCTCCTCTTCCTCCTCCTCAGAGCCGCTGTCCTCGCTGTCAGAGCGCGGCGCCACTTCGTACCTGCAGAGGAAGAAATGTTGTGACTTTAAACCCCCGTGTGAAACACATTAGTACAGTTAATGTTTATATCCTGCAGCTGTGACACTGACCCCGGGTTCATCTCCAGCCAGGTCTCCAGCTGACCGGCTTTCGGAGCTTCGCCGCCAGTCAGGATCTTTCCGCTGTCCGTGTGGATGACCTTCACAGGAAGGTCGCTCATCTGACTCGTTTCATCTAGAGGCTGTAAGAGAAGAAGAAGTTATTAAGCCCCGTGGACTCCTGAATTCAGTGATTCTTCGTCTAACACCCCCCAGAAACACAGAGTCCACCGTCAGTGAGGTAGTTTCTGTGTTTGACAAGGTGACTGAGGACGCTGTGATGTCACCACGTGCGGTGCGTCCTGATCTCTAACAAACATTCTTCGCTCTCTGAAGGAGGACGGGGAGATGAAAACATGGAGCTCTTATTGAAGTTTTTATGATAAATCATTTGGACTGGGGCGCCTAGTGGTTATGTTGCACGCCCTGTGTACAGAGGATGTAGTCGTCAGGGCAGCAGCCGTGGGTTCAAATCCGACCTTTGCCCTTTGCTGCATGTCACCCTACACTCCCTCCTCTCAACAATTCCTGCCTCTCTTCAGCTACAACAACATTTGGACCATTTCCACCGAGATAATCTACGAGGAAGATTAGAACAAATGGCCTCACTTATAAGCATCATAACACATAAAGGAGGTCATGTGATTCAGTTTAATTCACAAATGAATTACCAATTAATGTGTGTAATACATCTGCACATATATCCGTTGCTTTTGTTACTTAGTTATCTGTATTATTTGACTTTAGTTTTTAAAGCTTAGTCTTGGATTAATTCATGAAGCTAAAAAGATAAAAGAGGAAGGACTGGATGAGTTATTTAACTTCATCCTTACACCCTTTTCAAACATGGACTGGTTAAGGAAAAATAATCAAGCCACTACAGAAAGTATGCTTTGATTGCTGTTTGCTTTGTTTGTAATGTATATTTTTATTTTATTTTTACATGTTCGAAATAAAAAATAAATTAAAACGAAATAAGTTTGAAGACTCACCTCTCCATCAGGTCCCAGGCCGGATCCGCCCTCCACCGCCTCGGGCTTCTGAAAATGTTAAAAGAATATAAAAATCACATGAAGAAAAGCTCTTTAGACTCTCAGAGAGACGACTTTTAAGAACACTCACCTTCTTTTTCTTCTTCTTCTTCTTCTTCACTTTCAGAGCTTGGACGGCTTTGTGAGCTCGCACCAGATCGGTGAGGTTGGCCACGTACTCGTCGGTCTGCTGCAGCAGGTAGGCCAGACGCTTGTCTTTCTTTTGGTCGATGAGTTTACGGTAACCTTCTTCATCTTCAGCCTGAGAGAATCAGAGGGGGGGGGGGGGCGTTAAGGGGCTCGCTCTGGACCAATGAGAAGACCTCAAAACATTTACACCAGGAAGTGTTGGAGTCTCACCATCAGCCTCCTCATTCTCTCCTTCTCGATGCGCTCGTTCTCCTTCTTCTGCTCGCGCTCTGTGTTGGCGTGGTAGGTGGCCACGGCCTTGGTGGCCTTCTGGAGCTTGGCGGTGATGGAGCGGTGGTACTCTTTGAAGTCCTTGGCGTGCTGCAGGATGCTGTTCAAGTATTCCTGCAAACGAACACGACATCGACGTTAGAACATCCTGAAAGCTTCTCTTTTTTAAGAAGACGTGGATATCATGGCGTTAACGGGTTCTGTTCCTCGATGTGTACCTGGTGTTTCTGGCGGCGTTTGCGCTCCTGTTCGATCTTCTGCTGCTTCTCGAGCTTCTCTGTGATCCGGGCTTCCCGTAGAGACTGGCGTTTGCTGCGTTTGTACGCCTTGGCGTTGAGGGCGGTCTCCAAAGCGGTGTCACGACGCATGCAAACAACGACCTCCTGACGAAGCTGCAGATGCACAAAAAGTCAACATGTTGAAGATCTCTAATGTTTTGAATTTAGACTGCAGTACCCGTTTTAAACACTAGGAGTCAGAGTGTCATACTGCTCCTTTAAGGTGTTCGTGGCGTTCTCTTCAGAGTTACAAAAATATCTTATACCTGAAAGGTAGCGATAAATCAAAGCAGGCGTTGATGAAACTTCATATTTCAGTGGATTTCAATTTTGAGCTCAGCTGGTTCTAAAATCAATGATAACATTAGCTAATAAAGAAAGGTCAGATTTGTGCACATATCGTCATGGTTACCTGTCTCTGGAAGTTCAGCAGCCTCAGCGCTTTGAGCTCGATGTTGGCTTTGGTGCGAAGATCGCCGGCGAGAGAGCCGGGCAGGTTCTCCAGCTCCTGGATACGGTGAGCGATGCGAGCCTGCAACCTGAAGAAAATATCAATAAAGACAATATTTAAGACAGACGTCACTATGGCAACAGTATCACCCACTCTCACCTGTACTCTCTCTCGTGTAACCTGCCGTCTCACCTGTACTCTCTCTCACTCACCTGTACTCTCTCACCTGTACTCTCTCTCTCTCTCACCTGTACTCTCTCTCTCTCTCTCTCACCTGTTCTCTCTCTCTCTCTCTCTCTCTCCTGTACTCTCTCACTCTCACTCTCTCTCACCTGTACTCTCTCTCTCTCTCTCTCTCTCTCTCTCTCTCTCTCTCTCTCACCTGTACTCTCTCTCTCTCTCTCTCTCTCACTCTCACTCTCTCTCACCTGTACTCTCTCTCTCTCTCTCTCACTCTCTCTCTCACCTGTACTCTCTCTCGTGTGTAACCCGCTGTCTCACCTGTACTCTCTCTCCTGGAGGATCTCCACCGGGTCCAGCCCGCGGGGTTTCTGGATGGGGGTGATGCGGTTCTGCTTCTGGTGAAGCATCATGGGAGGAGGCTGAGCGGGCTGTCCTGGCGACTGAGTCTGAGGGGGCATGACGGGGGAGGCGGCGGGGGGACAGACGGGGGAGCGGGAGAGGGTCTGCCTGTGGGCTGAGGAGGAATCAGCTTCTGAGGAGGGTTTGAGGGGGCAGCGGCGTTCACCATCGGTCCTGAAAGAGATGAAAACCAGAGAGATGAGCCGTGACCACATGAGCTGTGAACACAGAGCTGCACCGGTGGGACTGAGTTTACCTTCAGGCCACTGTTTCGGGGGTCCGTTGGTCGGCTGGCCTTGCATACCCGGGGGGACTCCTGCAGGTCCAGGAGGCACCATATTTGGACCCACCATACCTAAAACAAGGAGAACAGGTAGACGTTTTTCAAGGTGAGTTGCATGTGTGAAACCAGACAGCTGAACTTTTCCTCTCAGACTTTATCCCGAGTTTCTCCTCCAGCATCCTGGTATTTTTCAACACAAAATCTGAGTGAGCTGATGTGAGAACGCAGCAGGATATTATCCGGGGAATTCAGACGGAAAAAAGGGTAATGCAAGAAAATATAAATGTTTGCTTTTCAGCTTTTCAATACAGTCACAAATCACACAGCTGTGGCAACAAATCCCTTTATAATTTACAAGAACTGAAAGATAAAGTTATACCCGCCCACGATCCCGCCCAAACCCACAGACTTGATTGTGTTCATTTTCAAAGAGCGTATACTGCGATTACAACGGATTCCCGACTAAACAAAAGCTGCACATCAAAATCTTGGATATCAAGAATATCAAAAAAGGCACAAGCAGACAGGTTGCACAAAGAACTCAGCAGAAGCTCCTTTTTTTACACAACTAATCCCAGTAAGGTTTTTAGTGCCCTAAATGTTCAAACTAACCCCGCCCCACCAAAAAAGTCTATCTACAGGATATAAACGTCACCACCCCCTCCCACTCGCTCGAGGTGAATCCTCCTGATTACCTCCTGCTGCGTTCTGCAAGTGTGAAATAGCCTTTGGCGCCTGCTGTAGATAAAATACCCTTCAGGATAATAGTGAAGATAAACTCACCATGTGGCCTGTTGTAGTTGCCCTGAGCCGGTCCTGGTCCCGGCCCCGGCCCACCTCCGGGCCCTGTCGCCGGCGGCATGTTGGGCATCGGCTGCTGCTGCATCCCCGGCATGGGCCTCTTCCCCTGAACGGCCATCTGCAGGTGGTCGGGGAGAGGCTGACTGCGAGCCAGCATCTTGTAGGCCATGATCTGAGCCCTGAGCTGGTGCAGCTGGTTCTGGTTGAAAGGAGTGGGTCCACCTGCACCACCTGGTCCACCTCCTGCAGCTCCGGGTCCGCCTGGACCCTGAGGACCCCCACGGTTAGGTTGTCCCATCCCCTGGCTGGGGTCCCCAGTGCCCTCCATGGGGCCAGAAACCGGGCCAGAGGGACCACCGGGCATCATGGGGCCAGAGGGGGGGCCGCTGGCTGGGACGGGGCTGGGCGCATGCTCTGAGCCTCCTAATGGAGAGGGGTAACCTGGAGGAGCAGAGAACAGATGCATCATGGGTAGTCCAAAAAAGATATTGGTGTTCTATGCAATGACTTTACAGTATGAAAAAAACAAAACACTGAGTGTGATTTATTGCAACCGACTTCAATCAACCTTTACTGTATTTTTATTCCTCTTGAGTTTAAGTCAAAGTCCAAATATTAACCAAAACATTCCTGCCTTTAATTCCCTCTTTTCATTTTCTTTTGCTGACAAACTCTGCTGTGGTTTTGTGGATGCAGCTGCGTTTGTTGCTGCCTGAAAGGAGAAACCTCAAAACCCCGCCCCTCCTGTGGTCCCGCCCTCTGCTGTCTGCTCACGCTGCCAAAACGAGCAGCAACACAAGAAAGAAACCGGCTGGATGGGTTCAAACACACACACACACACACACACTCTCTCTCTCTCTCTCTCTCTCTGTGTAGAGTAAGTCGGCATGACTGAGTTCTCTCTCTTCATTTTTATCTTTCTGATGTTACCGAGGAGAACGATCAACCTTCAGACGCCACAGAAAACATAGACAGCAGCGTGCATCTTCAAACAGTATTATGGGATGTGTTACCTTGGGAATGTTGGTCCATTGGGCTCGGAGGGGGTCCCATCCCACTGTGCCCCCCTGGTCTCATACTCATGCCCTTCATCTGGCTGTAGCGGGGGTCGTCGGGCATCCCCTTCTCATGCATGGCTTCCATTGGCTGAAAAAAAAAGACAAATGCAATTAAATATGGAAGATATTTTGATTTGAGGTTTTAGCATTCATAACAAAAAGAGAATAAACAGCTCAGTACTTTGTGCATCTGGTGCATGTTGTCCTGAGGATATCCTGAGGGTCCCTGTGGTGGGTGGGGGTGTCCGGATCCAGGAGGTCCTGGGCTGGGTCCCATCATGCTGTGGGCCGAGCCCGGAGAGGGACCAGGGCTCGGGCCCATCATGCCTCCCGGAGATGGCCCCGGGCCTGGGGAGGGTCCAGGACGAGGTGTCCCTCCCATCGGAGGGTCAGGGGTGGACATCTCGCAGGAGGGGGGGGGGGGGGGGGGAACAGGAAGTGTGTGGCAGCAGCGAGTTCCCCCTGAGAGGAGAGATGACAGGAGGAGTTATGGGAATGATCCCAATCAGATTGGGAACAAATGAGTCGGTGTAAGTGTGAAGTTAATGTGAACATCTGCATTTTAGGGCGCACAAACCCAACCAGCCGACCAGCGGCGCTCCGTGAACGTATGCTTTGATATGATAACAAGTATTCTCTTTTTGTCATTTCATCTATTTGCTTTAATTAAACTCTCAACATCAGGCCGGGAGATTAATCAAATTTCAGTTTCAATCATGAATTTGATTTCTCAAGATCATGAAAACAAGATAATCGAGATTAAACAATTACTGTGCAGCTGCATGGGCGCCTTGCACGCCGTGAACATTTTATCACGTGTGGTTAATGTCTCAAAGTATGAGTACATCACCACTACCTCAAAACCAGAGCTAATTTTTTATTTACATATTGTTCACTCAATTATTGCTTGTTTTTTTTTTTTTAAGTGCTCCGCTTATTAAAGCGATTAACATAAATGTTAGTGATCCAGATGTCGTAAAGTCAACGAGTTATCGTGATCTCAATATCCGTTAAATTAATCAGTATGATTTTTTTGTCATAATCGAGCAGCACTAATTGAGGTCATGCTCTCAATGATTTCTCTACTTTAAATAAAGTTTGACTGAATGTAGTGAGAAACGAAAACCTCACTGCTTTACTACACAAACAGAAAAGTGTGTAAAACATTGAATGTCTTTGTTGCAGCGCTGCCTTCTTAACATATGAATCCTGTTTCAGCTGAAAGTGACAGATGGTGGAAGACAAATTGAACAATGTTATTCAGAGAACACTTTGTGTAATCATCAGACTTGGAAAGAACAAATCAGGCCCTAAACAGGAAGAGTTATATTTATATTATGTTAGCTTTATATTTACTAAGAGGTCATGAAAACTATCAAAACCTAAAAATAAAAAAATAAAAAAGTAAAGGCTGTTTGGTGTAGTTTTATTAAAGAAGGTAATATGATATTATCGTTTGTTTAATTTAAACATTTATTTGAAAATAAAAGTTTGTATTTATTTATTATTAACATTTTAAACAACCTTAATGTAAACTATCACTTCAAGGGTAAAACTTTAATTAATAAAACACTTAGAGGACGATCTAATTCACAACAGTCCCTGCTACACACACACAAAGACCTCGACAAGAAAACGGACCAAGAGGAAAAACAAACAAACAAAGTTGAAACTGTGTCAGAAACAGTTTCAATGTTTACATCCGCAAACACAAAACAGTTAGCTTAGCTGCTGTTAGCATTAGCAGCTGTGCTAGCGTTAGCCGGGCCTAGCCCTGTCAGTTAACGTTATATTTTGTATTTTCACTAACGATAGACTTCTTATCTTATCGTCATTTTAATTATAATGTTATAATAGTTCCGTGCTAGTCATTGAAAGACTTAAAAGCCCAAGAAATAACACTAATGTTGGCGTAGAGAATTGCGAGAACAGTCGGCTCAGGCTAGCCGGTGTTATGTCGAGATCTGCCGCCTTGTAGAAAAATGCTACCAAAGCGCAAAACGATATAATATTCTCTCCATATCACATATTTAATAAAGGCAACTGACAAAATAACTTAATATTAATTCACCACTCGACCTTATGCATTATTAGAGTATGGGGAACACATTTTGGTACTCTATTATTTAAGATTTCAGGGTCGTAGCATTTTTCGACAAGGCAGCAGATCTCAACAGAACACCTGTTAGCCTGAGTGGACTGCTCTTTGTAGCTTAACCCGAACATTAGTGTTATTTCTCGGTCTCACAAGTCGTTCAATTACTAGCAGAGAATTCGTCAAACATAATCGTGAAGACGACGATAAAACGACAAGTGTACAGTTGATGATAGAACATAATGTAACGTTAGCTGTTAAACCCGGTGTTACATCGAATACTGCTACCGCGTAAGTAAAAGCCAGTGTTAATATGTGAAGGCTAGCATGCTAGCGGGTTAGCCAAGCCGGCCATGCTCTCCCAGGCCAATTAGGCAGAAAACTGTGCCGTTTGTGGAGATGTTTGTCCAGATGCGGCGACAAGTGAGAGGTAAAAGCATCTCTCATCGCTGGAGATGATTGATCCAACTCGCCTCCCGTACCTTTGGCTTCGGTGCTGCGCTCTAAGTTCATCTCCAAAAACACATTTCATTCATTACCGCCGCGCCACAGCAGCGACTGTAATGTCGGTCTGGGCTTTTTCTCCGCGTAAAAACACCCGGAAAAAACACCACAAATACTCTACAAACATCGGCAAACACAGACGGAAGCATCTCTGTGTTAAACAAAATAAAAAGTTGACTTACACAAAGTGGTAAAAGGCGACGTTTGAGTCCTCAACGGTTGCAGCGTCTATCGGTTTTTCCTCCTAGCCAGAAACAAAGACCGACCAGCCCAGTCGGTTTTTTTCCTTCACCCCCCCCCTCCTCTCTCTCTCTGTAGATTGTATCACAGCGACCCGGCTTGAAGCGACTCAGCAGCGCCCCCATCCGCCGGCTCGTCAGCTTCCCGCATGCCCAGTGAAGGCTGCGCTTCAGTGGGGGATGAGAGAGCGAGGAGCCGGCGTGGGGGAGGGGAGAGCAGGCCAATTCAAATCAGTGTTAATATGCTTTAATGGGATGAATGTTAGAGAAACAACACGGCCAAGGCGTCAAGTGATAAGCAGATGAAAAGAAGAACACAAACAAAACAACGGGTAGAGAAGGAAAATATGGTATAACTCAGCGTCTTTGTGTGTTTATGAAACACTGTTGTAGGTCTTCTGCAGAGGCGTTTCTAGAGTCTTATGATGCCCTGAGCAGGAAAATTCATAAGGGGCCCCATTCCACCAGCAATCATCACCTTTAAAGGACCAATCTGTGAGACATCTACTGAGTTAAATCATGAAACGACCTTACTGTAGCATCAGACATTAAGGGAACATGCTATGTTGAAGTGCTGGCCTTGTTACGCCTTAAGACATTCATATTGATTCTGCAGCTGCGTATTATATTCCTGTCCCGGTCTGTGAATTCACATTTCGTCCCCTGCGTTGTGTAAGCTCGACACAGCTGGAGCTCCACATCCACACACACACACACACACACACACACACACACACACAGCGCTGCCCTCCCCCTCTGGCTCAGCTGATCAGTAACATCCCTGTTTCTACCTCAGAAGAAGTGTCCAATTGTCCCAGGGGGGTCCACTTAGAAATGATGTTGAACAAAGTTAAAAACCCAGAAATATGATGGTACAAGACAAAGAAGTTAATCATAACATTGTGTATTTAACTCATGTTGTTGTTGTTGTCTTGGTAGCTATGGCAACCGATTTAAGTCTAATGGGTTTCACCTGGCCTGAACTGTGGTTACAGTTTCAGACGCTCCGTGAGGTCAGTCTCTTCCGGACCTCAGTGCAGACGGAGAATCGGTGCGAGAGAGAACGAGCCGGGTGAGAGGCAGCGGCCCTCTGAACGTTATAGGGGAGATCTGATCAGACCAAGATATCGTCATCACTGCACCAACAGTGGAGGGGTTTGGGGTCAATCGTACCAATCACGTCATCCAGGGGAACGAGGACTCCTCCAGGAGCTTCTGTTGTACTCGAGCCATGAGCCATCGGCCTGGTCGAGGGGGGAAAGTTAAGTGGACATTTTTAACAGAAAAATGTTTGTTATTGTCTGTTTTTATTCCAGTTTGGTGATTTCCTTGTTCAATTCTGTGACTATAGGTTTCATTTTTTTTTTTTTTTTTGGTGTGTTGTGCCTTTTTTGTAGATATAAGACAGTGGATAGAGTCAGAAATCAGAGAGAGAGAGAATGGGGAATAAGATGCGGAAAAAGGAGCCACATGTGGGATTCGAACCTGGGCCGCCCGCCTGGAGGACAACAGCCTCCATACATGGGGCGAGCGCACAAACGACCAGCGCCACAGGTTTCAGTTTCTTATTATAAATGTAATACAGTAGCCTTATAATGTGGGCGTCAGTTAGCTTCAAAAGTTTGGGGAGGAGGACAGGAGGGAGTTAAATCCAATGTGCCTACCTGGGGTCAGTCCAGGTGTTCACTCTAAGCTCAGTGTGTCCATATGTTAAACACTCTGCACCATCACGTGCGTGTGTGTGTACACAGTGTGTACTCACACGTTGATTGCCATAAGCTGCTTTTCCACAGAACAAGGTTTTGGCTGTACGGGGCTCCACTGCGCTCTACTACTTAGAAATGGCATTAGTGCCAGGGGAAGAACAATCACATTTAGGGGCCTGGACTAACCCCCCTCCACCCCTCCACTCCTCCACTCCTCCACTCCTCCACCCCTCTACCCAAATGAAAACATCTCTTTTCAGCCGTAAGCCCCGTCTCCACCTGGCTTTCACACTTGAAAAAAACTCCTGAAAAACTCCAGGTGGAGCTGCATGTGTGAATGCAAACAACCAAATTTTTCACTCAGATTTCACCCAGAGTTTCTCCTTCTAGATTCCTAGTATAAGTATTTTTTCTGCAGCAAGTCCGAGTGAGATAATGTGAGAAACAGCAGCAGGATATTCTCCTGAGAATTCAGCTTGAGCCAATGGGATGGGGGAGTGACGTTTATATACAGTGACTTCAGTCAGTTCATTGACCGTCTGCCAACGAGCGCTACAATCTCCGCACATGTAATTAAGCTGCTGCATGTTTTGTGTTCACCTAAACCTCAAACAGGCTTCCAGATTGTCTTTTTGGGGTATTTTTGGATGTTAAAATGTCTCAAAATGTGTTAATGTTATAAGTGCTTTGGCTTCCTTTTCCAAGATGACATAATTTTTCAATACCTATTTAAAGGTGACATGTTCTCCTCCTCTTCTTCAGTGTAAATAAGTCTCAGAGCTCCTCTAAACATGTGTGTGAAGTTTCTTGTTCTAAATCCACTCTGATCCTGTATTTGATCATGCCTATAAACCCCTCTATTTCAGCCCTGCTCAGAACAGGCTGTTTCTGTGTCTGTACCTTTAAATATGTAAATGAGCTGTGTCTGACCACGCCTCCTCTCTGGAAGGGCTAGGCTCGGCTCAGTCTGTCTCACTCCATGTCCTATTGTTTACGGTGAGAAGGCAGACTCAGAGGGCAGAACAAACACCTAGCTGTGGGAGTGTCACCCAACTGGGGGAGGGGCTACTGCCCTTTGTGATGTCATGAAGGGAAAATCTCCAAACGGCCTGTTTGAGCACACATTTTCTGAAAAGTGGAGCAGCCTAAAGACGGACAGGATGGACTTTTCTCATCATGGGGGGATTGTAGACAGACTACCTAGCTGTGGGAGTGTCACCCACCTGGGGGAGGGGTTACTGGCACCTCTCCAGATACCAGTCAAGGCTTGATCACACCAGGACTTGAACCGGCATCCCTCTGATTCCCAGCCCAAGCCTCCTACAGACTGAGCTACTGCTGCCCAAAAAGTCAATGAATCTCCTAACTGTAGAACATAAGAACTGAAAATGTCTGACCCAGTTGATCCTCCTAAGCCTGTCTATTATCCCTAGTTATAATTCTGTATTTGTAAAGCACTGATTCATAATAAATGTTTTCTCAAGATACTTTACTTTGTTTCATTATTTACAAAGACCCAACATTCATCCACCACAAGCAAAGCCATTGGCAATATTTAGAAAAAGCAACAGCGACAAGGAAAACTTCTGCCATCTGCCACGACTGTGTGTGTGTGTGTGTGTGTGTGTGTGTGTGTGTGTGTGTGTGTACAGATTTGAACAATTCAAACAGTACATTCACTAAATCCCCTCAAGCATTCACCATCTTAATATGATATGGTCCATTTGTAAATATCCCTGTGTTTTCATGATGGCTGACTGTTATTTACCGCTGCGAGCTGGACGCCCTTTGACAGGCTGACTGATCAGCTTAAGAAGGTGGGGTCAGAGGTGTGTCAGTGGCGTTAATCTGCAGAGTGGACGGTCCACCGCTCTTCACAGAAATGCTGGCACAAAGGAAACCAACGAAACACAAAGTCTGGTCAAACTGGACCGCTGAGACATGACCATCCACCGGCTGGCCAACCAGCTCTGGAGATATCGTGTTACAGGTCTCATGCTGACCTTGGGGGTCACCTGTCTTCTTATATTTGTAGGTACTTATTTGTTGCAGCAGTCAAGGTAAGTGACACAATGCATTCATTTCCAGTTTTTACATAACTTTTATGTGTCTGTATTGGACTCAAATTGGGTAAAAGTTGGTATTATACTTTGCTTTTATTGAATCCTTGCGTTTTCCTTTTCTTTCCAAAGCCGTCATGGTCGACACAAAGGTTGGAACAAGAAGCTGGTGAAAGATAAAGCGCAACCTGCAGCCAATCCTGCAGGCTCCTCAAGACATGACCACCATTATCAAGAACGCAAAAGAAGAAGTGACACACATCCCTCTGACGACCATCAGGCTCCAAAAGATGGCAGTCCTTATAACATGATGAAGCCGCGGACTCAAACGCCTCCCGTTGTCTTCCTCAAAACACACAAGACAGGAAGCAGCACCGTCCAAAACCTGCTGTTCCGCATGGGAGAACGTGACAGAGCCACATTCGCTTTCCCTCATCACAGCTACCAGTTCAGCTACCCAGAGAAGTATGGCGCTGTAATCCTTCATTCTCCATATTCACAAAAAGTTCAACAGTGTGACTCAGGATGTTTATTTTTCTCCATAGCTGATTTGATTATTAGCCGTGATGTCATAACCATCCAAAGTATCTACGATGAGCTACCTGAGTGTGAAACGATGGTTTATGCTCCTGTAGAAACAAAAGTTCATATGATGTCATTATTTGCAATTTGGAGGAAAATAATTACAATACCCATAATCCTAGAGTGTCACAGCGACATCTCTGATTGGTGGGAGACCATGGAAATGTTTCCTGCCCCCCGCAATCTTCGGCTGTTGGCAGTTACACGGGGGTGTGGCCAGAGGGGTGGCATCATATTGGTCAACCCGGGTACCACTCCAAAATCCTAAACTATGATGTGCCTTGTTAGAGGCAAGACCTTATGTTCCAATTAAGTAATTTGGCCGTGTTGTAACAAGATACTAGTTTTCTTTACATGTCGAGGTTGCAATTCTGAATCCTGAATCCTAAATCCTGAATCCTGAATCCTAAACCCTGAATCCTAAACCCTAAATCCTAAACCTGAATCCTGAATCCTAAACCCCGAATCCTGAATCCTGAATCCTGAATCCTGAATCCTCAATCCTGAACCCTAAATCCTAAACCCTGAATCCTAAATCCTGAATCCTAAACCCTAAATCCTGAATCCTGAATCCTAAAACCTAAATCCTAAATCCTGAATCCTGAATCCTGAATCCTGAATCCTGAATCCTGAATCCTTGTATCTGCCACAGTCTAGCAGTTGGGCATTTTAACTGCATTTGGGCTAATGCTAAATGCTAAGTAGACACTAAATCTCAGGATTGCTCTGGTTGGTGATGCTTTTTGTCTTTCTTTGTCCTCGTTTTCAGATTCAGGGCTAAATTTGTGGACGAGTTACCCGACGACTCCTCTCAGTACGACCTTCTCTGCAGCAACATGCGACTGGACGTCGAGCAGTTGAAGCAGGTGATGCCAGAGAACGCTGTCTACATCACCATCCTCCGTGAACCCCTGCGGACATTTGAGTCTGTCTTCTCGTACTACACCTCCACGGTTCCTGCTTCATTTTGGCCAAAAAGGTAGCGGAGACGACGGGGCACAAGTCGGCATTGTCTCTTTTCCTGGAGTCGCCCGACGCATTCTGGGACCCCAAAGAACCCGGGAATTGCCTGGGAAGGAACCCGATGAGCTTTGATTTGGGTATCGACAGCCAGCAGTGGAACACCACCTGGAGGACTGACCTGTCTCTGCTCGAGGAGACGTTCCAGCTGGTTATGATAGCGGAGCATTTTGACGAGTCTCTGATCCTCCTGGGCAGCCTGCTGGATCTGAACATGGAGGAACTCGCGTACGTCCGCCTCAACACGCGGTCCCTCCAGGACGTTACTCACCTAGATGACGACACTAAAGATCAGATCAGTGCCTGGAACACTTTGGACGTGCTGCTCTATGACTTTTTCCTCCAGATCTTCCTGGAAAAGGTAGAAAAGTACGGGTTGGAGAGGCTGAACAGCGAGGTCGCTCTCCTGAGAGCCACCACAAACAGAATCAGACGGAAATGTGTGGCCAGGTCGGGGGTGTACCCCGAGGAACTGGAGGACCTGGTGAGACCTTGGCAGACTGACACCGTTACTATCCTGGGTTATCAGATACAGAAAAACCTGACCAAGCCAGAGCAAGCGTTCTGCACTCGTCTAGTGCTGCCTGAACTTCAGTACCATGCACATCTGTATTTTCAGCAGTATGGTCGAGACATGAGAGCCGTGCCTACAGAGTGATGTAAACAAAAAGTGCTTTCACACCTGTCGCACACTGGATGCAGGATATTAACATCACATGCCCACTTGCTCGTCCTGAACCTTCCTGAAAATTGCGGAAATGTTACACGTGGGGCTGGAAGGAATATCCAGATTCTGTTTGCGTTTATACACAAAGCACACCCTGAACATTTCTGGCACTTTTCAGAAGTTTTGTGCATGTGTGAAAAACGCTTTAATGAATGAGCGGGATTTATATTTTTTTATTTATCACAAGGGGACATACCATAATGTGTCAACGTGAGCTTCCTAATCTGCCTTGTATCTGAATTAAGAGGGACTACAGACGTGGTTATGGCGCCCAAAGATAAATATTAATAAAGGAAGTTTCTACACAATCTTGTCCGTTTCTTTGCAGTAAAACTCTTTGAATCTGAGATTCATAATTTTCTATAAATCTTTCCAAAACATATTCTACAACAAGAGCAGGGCATGTTGTTTTAATTTGAGCAATCCCAGAATTATATCTTTTTAAATCACTTACTCTGAGGTGAAGCTGCTGCAGCGTTTGAGCTCGTAAGCAGCAGCAGGTTTGATGCTGGCGCTGATCCCAGTTCACACATTAGTGCTCATAGTTCTCGTAACCTCTAAGTAGCGCTTATTGAACAGGAAGGATTGTCCACAGCCTTCTGTTGGCTCTCTGAGTGTGAGATGCTCTGAGCTAAAACAAACGTAAGCATGCCAGCCAGCTGATGAGAAGCAGGTTTAATGGTTATCATGTTTACTAATCCATCACGGCAGATGGCAGTTCACCAACGTGTCCTGTTTTCTGTGTTTGTTCACTTTTGATGAATGTTGTGTGTCTCTACATCAAACATTAGCACAAAATCAGATATGAGCATTAAGGTTTGCAGTGTGAGAACAGCCTAAGAACCATCGACTGTAAATATGAATGTTTGACCCTGAGTGACGTCCCCCGCCTGTTCCTGCAGGGGGCGCTGGAGTCCCATCGATGACGGTCTCCATGCTGGAAATGCTGTCTCAGTCTAACTTTCAGTCAACCTAACGACAGGCTGAGAGCTGGAGCTGAGGCGGGTTTTAAACCTCCTGACAAACCGTTACACCGCGCCCACCTGTCAATCAGGTCAGCTACACGCCTTATTGTGAATAACTCTTATCCTTCATCAAATCAAAACTGATGAGTCATCAAAACATTCACCCCCCCGTACAGTGTGTGTCCATCCAGACATGAGCTAATCACACCTATTTGGTTTTTTGAACCAGGCTGTAAACATGTTCATCTCTGCTGTAAAAACAGGCTTTTTAGAATGGGTGTGTATGTGACTTCATGTGCTTCTGCAGCCAGCCTCTAGTGGACACTCGAGGTACTGCAGGATTTTTACACTTCAGCATCAGCTTCGGTTTTCAACAAATGAGGTTGCCGCTTGGTTTCGGTGATTGTGGTCTTGACTACAACACTAAACAGAGGACCGCCAGACACAAACCCACCACAACACTAATATTCAAACACACCTAAAGGTTCAGAAAGAAGCACTAAAATAAAAACTACACATCAAGTGTGTAGACACGGTGTAGAGAATTAACAAAACGTCTCTTTTTTTTTATTCATAAACTGTTTATTTCTATAAACGACAGCAGATCATAGGAACAGTTTCAGTACTTTTTGTCCTCTGAGTGAAGTGACTATTTAACATCTGTTCTTCTTCTCCTGATGTGAGTCACATGTTTGTGAAGATTTAATTTTCTAATCTAGTGAAAGGCAGCACATCCTGTCACCGACACAAAAATAGACTCATAGAAACACGTTTGTCCTTTTGATCTCAATTCTTCACAATAAATGAATAAGTGACATGCAGTGATATGTTCCCCTCTTAAAACAATAAATACAAATAGATATGAGCAATAAAAATACAGTTTGATTAAAGGTTTGATCTCTTCTGAGGGTCCGTGAGGTTTGGAGGTTTGTCAGTGCAGACTCCTCTCGTGATCACAACAGAACAAACTCGTCCATGCTGTTGCTCGTCACCACGTGTCTGTGTTCGGCGTTCCTCTGGATGTAGGTGATGTCGTTGGAGGACGTTCTGCAAGACTCTTCTTCCTCCTGACTCGCTCCATCCACAAAAATAAACATGGGGTACATCTCTGCAGACGTGGTCAGAACCTACGGGAGAAACAGACACAAGCACAAGACGTTTGAAGATGGAGTCAGCAGCTTCTTCTTTCAAAATAAAATACAGATTTCTCCTAAAGTAAAGCTGGCTGTCTCCTTCAAAATAAAAGACAGTCTTCTCCTAAAGTGAAGCTGCTCCATTGTCCCTTCTGGGCCTCCGTACATGTGTGGTGGTGACTGTGTCTGCAGAGACTCTGTCCTCTGACTGGATTTTACTGTTCTGATTTGTTCTGGTCGACTCGGGACGTTTCTGGGCGGAGCTGGTGTGTTTCCTCCAGCCAATGAGAGCGCAGCAGGTGAGTTTAGGAGTGAATATGACGGACGTGGATGTAGCAGCAAAGAAGAGAAAATATAATGAGAGTGAGGAGAAACACCAAGTGGATAAAGATCGTTCTAAAACGAGGGTGAACCTTGTGTTGTCTTTTACCCGTGGACGTGGAGTTGGTCTACTTCCTGTTGGACAGGAAGGTGACAAACACCAGCGGTTAGCTTGTGTTAGCTTGTGCTAGCGTGCAGTAGCTTGCAGTGTAGCTACTAGCAGTAAACGTACATACTACGTCCTGCAGTGAGTGAGCCCAGGAGGAGGAGGGGCCGCGTTTGAATTTTATGTTTACAAGCTGCTACTGACTCCACCTTTAAGATTATTTAGTCAGAAGAAGTCAGGGAACACATTTGAAATGTTTCCCGTCGCTGTAAGAGACACGTCTTCAAAGATCTACAAAAACAGCATCTTTACAAGCCAGACGTTCTTTAAATGAGAACAAAAATAAAACAAATAAAACGCTCTCTTACCTCGTTAACAGCCGAGCACATTGCTTCAAAGTCCTTCTGACCTTTTGCATAAAACCCGATGGTACAGCTGGGATCCATGCGAGAGAACGACATCTTCCTGGGATATTTACAGTGAAATGACTGAAAAAAGAAACAACAACAGATTTAGAGAGATTTGTTGAAAGAATAAAATATTAAATACATTTACTACATACATTTGTTTTTTTGCTCATAAGGTAGTTTTCTTTTTCTGCTCAGAAGTCACATGTCAGCTGTCAGTCAAGGTAAGTCCTGTGTCTGTAAATATGTAAATGAGCGGTGTCTGACCACGCCCCCTCTCTGGAAGGGCTTGGGTGTCTCTGTCTTTCTCGCTCCATTTTCTATTGTTTACGGTGAGAAGGCAGACTCAGAGGGCAGAACAAACACCTAGCTGTGGGAGTGTCACCCACCTGGGGGAGGGGCTCCTGCCCTTTGTGATGTCATGAAGGGAAAATCTCCAAACGGCCTGTTTGAGCACACATTTTCTGAAAAGTGGAGCAGGCAAAAGACGGAGAGGATGGACTTTTCTCATGATTGGGGGGTTTGTAGACGGACTAGAGACACATGGTGAAGAGTGTTCTTGATAATATGTGACCTTTAAACCAACGCAGCAGAGAAAAGGTTTTGCAGGAATTAATTATTCTATTCGACTTTGATTACGGTGAGTGAGGCCGGCTGTCAGAGGAGGAAACGAGACTGAGAGAGAAAGCAGAAGAAGAGAATCAGAACTTCCTCTTACCTCCAAGGGAAAGTTCTGCTTGGTTGTATCGACCGTGGGCCGACAGTAGTGAGGGTCCAAGTGCAGCAGGTGGTCATCTTTTCAACAGCACAAATAGAAGAAGTGAGCGTGCATCAATCAGCTGAGCACATAATGATAACGAACAGAGTGCTGCACGTACCCTGGAAGCCCACGAAGAACAAAGAGTGCTTTGGTTTGCCTCCGATGATTCCAATGCAGCTCTGCAGCGTCAAGAGTCTCTGTGGAGAGGAGACTTCCTGTCAGACTCTCTGACTTTACCCACAGAGCTGATTTAAAACTGAGCCGTTAAACCACAATGTAAACATGGACACGGAGTCTTTAAAACCCTGAAACCTCAGAGTCTCTGGTGTGAAGAACCTCAGAGGGCACACAGGAAGACAAAATGTGTGAAATATGGTTGTTTACTTTGACACATGTGATGTAGGAGGGGTTGAGATCTTGCCCTCCGAGGCGCACAGGAACGAGAACGATGACGGACTTCCAGCACTGAGGAGGAGGTCGCTCACACAGCCGCTTCACGTCCTCTAAATAAACTGAAAACACACACAGGAAGACCAGACTGAGGCCCTGTTTACACCCGCTACTGATGTAGCTGCTTTCACATACACTTCTAAAATCCTGTTTCTGATCCTTCTGCAGAGAAATCACTCACTGGTGCAATCCTGTGCAACATACACAACCAGATTGGGAACGTCTGCTGACGCCGCCACGGCTTTCCTGAAAACAAAATGAAACGTGTTACACCTCCATTAAAGTCTGAATATGTGATTCTTCACACTTAAATATATAAATCAAGTATCTCCTCTGAAAATAACTCTGTGAGTCATGACTGTCTACAATGGGTGTAACACCCGAGTCCCACTGTCTGTGATGTTTTCAGAGTTTTCAGAGTCCTATCTTCACTTTGTTTACATCGCCAGGACGGCCGGCTGACTCCTCCCCTCGTGTATAAAAGTTGTTTAATTGAGGGACTAGAGAAAAGAAGAATAACATACTGTACTCACTGCTTAACTGTGTTTCTAGATCACGCTCATTTCAGGTAAATTTACATGCAGTGTGAAGATACCAGCATAATAAAGATCACTAGCATTAGCATGCTAACACAACAATGCAGCGTGAGTTATTTTGGTTTCATGCTGGTGCTCAAGGGCGACATCTGCTGGATCAAAACATCACATAGGAAGACTTTAAGTCTGGAGAGGTAAACTGGAGTGTTTACAACATTATTTTGGTCTCACCGGAGGATGTGAGCTGCGATGGACGGTCCGTACCAGTCCCCGGCCTTCTTCCCCGAACTTTTCCCCAACTCCACCAGCATATGAATCCCAAAGGGGGCCGCGGGACGGTCCAAAAACCACGTCACCACCCGTCTGTGTGTCGCCTCCATCGGTCTGTTCAGGTTGGAATCCAAGCTGTGTCGTCGGCTTTTCTTCTCCTCCTCCTCCTTTAAATACAGCCCTCGCCCGGTGCTGCTCACCTGAAGGTCCGAGTCGTCTTTGCTGACACGTTGGCTCGCACACCAAGTCCAACCTCAAAATAACAAACACATTATGTCAGGGAAGAAAAAGTACAAAAAAACTTCCATAAGACACCAGATATGGACTTCCACAGGGATTCTCTGGAGAATCCAAATGTCTGATATTTGATTTCCTTGAAAGTTGTGCAGTTTGCAACTTGGAAATAAGATCTTATTCTAAATTTGACTTTGCACTGGTTTTTCATGGCTAGCTCATAAATTAGCTGATGCTAATGCTACCTAGCTTTCAGTCATGTTAGCTAGATGCCACTTTGACAACAACAGTCGGCAGTCAGTCATTCTGCAGTTTGATAAAATAAATGTTTATCTCAGGAAAGTATGAATTAGCTTCCTGCAGCGTTAGCTCGTTTACAGTAATGTAGCTTCAGGTGCTGCAGTGTGCATGTGAGAGCTGTCACCTGGAGGCATCAGGTGCAGCAGCAGGCCTTGTGCCAGCAGCATCTGCCCCGTCCTCAGGACACACCCCCAGCCGCTGTCGGTGGTCAGAGAGCCCCCTGATAGCGGAGGGAAACCCCGTCTGTACGTCAACCACAGGAGAGTCGTGAAGGAGCGCCGGAAGTGCTCTCTGTCCCCTGACACACACACACACACACACACACACACACACACACACACACACACACACACACACACACACACACAGGATTAACACGTGAGATATTTTCTTTGACGGACGTTTTGAGCGCCGCTCGAGGTCGCACCTTGATCCTTGAGCTCGTAGGACTTTCCCAACATGATCACCGGAGAGCTTCTGCTGAATTTGGATTTCTGCTTCAAGGACCAGCCTGAAGAGACGAAGAGGACAGAGACACACACCGTCATCTCAACAACTCTTTGTTCTTATAAAAACACATTCACAGTTAGAGCGGGGCGATACGATCTCGTCAGGAGGGCGATAAAACTTTCATATTTATAACGATAACAGACAATCCCACAGAGGAAATGTCTTCATATGGAAGTCTGTTTTTTGCAACTTGGGGTAAAGTGTCTTCTTCACCAAGGAATAAAAGATTATATAATTATAAAAGATGATATAATTAAGTGTATCTTCTTCAATGTGACAAAGCAGCCTCAGAACAGAAGTCGTGGGTTTGAGATAAAACATTAAATGAGCCTTTTCACAGAGTGAGACAAAAACAATTCTGATCATGCTTAAAAGTTTTTTTTTCTAGAGAGATCTGCTTCAGGAGCTGGGGATCGAACCTCTGACCTTTGATTGAGAGACGTCCAACTCTACCACTGAGCCACAGCCACCATATGTGAAGTAATCACAGGTCTCACTTGTCTACTTTTGAAATGCAACATCAGAACTTTGTCTTTGACCTGCTGGTGCTAATATATGAAAATTAAAGTGAATCTATAAATGGAGAGTTGTATTTTTTATCAGGATCGTCTTCATACTGACAGAATGACATCATCTAAAAAAAATAACCGTGATCCTGTCTTCTGCCTCATCGCCCCGCCCTCGTTATTTTATGACGTCATAGCGGTGACACAGACCATATTTGACACTGTTCCACGCCGAGACCAGCTTGGATCTGAGTCTGCCTCTGTCCTCGACCTCCTCGGCGTCCTCGTCCTCCCGGCTCTCTTCCAGCTGCTGAGTCCCGTTGAACTCAGCGGTGAGGAAGTGCCAATCCTCCGTCAGCTCATCGTCGGGGGGCTGGCCCTCCAAGCTGACCGACGAGGAGCTGGGATTCATAACAGGCGTGAGAAGGCGCTTCTTATCTCCATGGCAACCTGTGCAGACATGAAGGGAACATGAAACAGAAGCCTGATGGGCGACGCACACATGCACAGAACATGATTCAGTCTGAACGCAGCGTCCACACTGGATTGGACGGTTAGATGGCGGCTGCAGTGAAGTTAATAATTCTCTGAGAGAGGAGCCATGTGACTGCACCGTGTGACTCCAGGAATGTTGATTTAGTTGCAGCACGAGGGGCGCTGCTACGCTGTTCTCACCCACATTCAGCCCACTTCCCCTGAAACTGAACATCAGTACTTATTCATGGTTCTTATTAAGTTCTTATTAAGCGAGCAGCAGACGACGTGCAGCTGGGCAGGAATATAAAGAATCAGAGGCTGGACTCACAAAGCTTAATAAATACTAAGAGAGTGACTCAATTCTAAGAACGTTTGTAGAATCATGAAGTTTTCTGAGTTTAATTTTCTTAGAATCTACTTTAGATTAGATCCTTGTTGGGGTCAAAGTTCATCACAAAGCTTCTTAGCCCTGAAGAGAGCTCTAAAGGTGTAAACTGTGAGGAGGAGTGAGCAGGACTTTAACGGGATGAAGAGTTTCTCAAACTGAGGAGAAAACATGTTCTTTCATTATTATTGAATCAGTCGGGCTGTAAGATAAAAACTATTTCTGTAAACATTTCAATCCATTCCTGACTTTCTTCAGTGCGAAGTGAGACCTGCATACTGAGTGTCTCTACATGGTTACCTCCACAGGTTCATCGTATCAATGAATACAGACGATGTAACGATCAGGCCGCTGAACAAGCGGACATGTGTTTTCAAATATCTAGTACGCTAAAGTATGACTATCGCCATCAGCTAATTTTATCTCTGAAATGCACCGATATTAATGGATTTATTCACTGGTCAAACAGAATTTCATTTGAGTTTCACTGCATCACACGAGCAGTTCTCTTTCACCATCAGAGGGCGCTACATGGATTATAACAAACATCATCCCTCTCCAGAGTGTCGACGCACGTTCACGCCGAGTTACTCTCCAGTTGAGTGACCATCTTGTCTTCATCATAAATCTTTTCCACACGAGTTTGATATCTGCATAAATGTGTTTATCTAAATCTACAGATTGAACAAAGATATCAGCAGATATATCCGAATCAGATTCTCTCTCTCCCCAATATCGATATCTGCCCCAAAAATCCATATCGGTCGAGCCTACGTCCTGCTCTCAGTCTTCAACTTGTTAGACGTCATAGGCCTTCACTCATGTGCTGTCCCTAACATCAGCCTCTGTCTCTGACTTTAAGGTATCTGATGTGTTTTATAGGTGTCGAGTATAACGGTCCTGTTTTAATGTCACTTGTTGTCTGTCCTTAAACTGTCTCATGTGTCAACACCTCGTGTGTCTGTTGATCTGTCTCTCACCTGAAAACGAGACATGAAGGCTAAACTGACACATGACAGAGTGTTATGAATGTGCATTATCCCTGAAGCTTTAAACTGTATAACTACACAGAAACAGATGTAGAAATGATGAATCAAGATCAGATGTAAGGTCTGTCTCTTATATATTTGATGTGCTGCTTAGCTGGTTAACTGAATTCTTTTATTTTATTTTGAAAGTTGAGGCCTAAGATGAATTAGATAAAGATCTAAATGAAAAAGGGGGACAGGATTAGAGACTTGTTGTTCCATCAAACTCTCTGAACATGGACTTGTATGCTCTCTTTGTTATTAGCTTTGTCTGTATATTTTATTTATTTGTAAAATGTTCAAAATAAATGTAAAAACATCGCCAAGAAAGGTCATTCACACTGTTTCAATTTTACAAATGAATTGTCAACGTGAAGGAGTTTGCTGGTTTGTGTTTCACATGTTTTTACTTCCTGGTCCACTTCATCATTAAAACACATTAAAATGTTTCAAAACAGTTTAAAAAATCATAATTATCGACAGTTTTGACCACTTCATAGTTTACTGCACAATTTAACGAAGTTGACTTACAAATCAATAACAGATGCGTCGAGAAAAACATTAAACTTCACATTTATGAACTCAAAGTTATAATAAATATATTTTTGAAGCATGATAGTTCACAGTGTAGAGCGGATTACAGGAGTAATAACACTCTGACATTACGTCTTTACCTTGAGTTCAGCAGCGTCATTGTGTCTCCTCTGAATAAACCTCCACAGGTTTGTCGTTGTTACTTCGAGTCTTTAGGAAGAAAAGAAAACAAATCACTGAAGAGTGACAGCGCAGCGCTACAAATCACTTCCTGTTTATCTTCGCTACGTGTTAGCTCTGTCGTGATTGGTCAACAGAGGACCAATCAGAGCGCGCCTCTGGCTCTCCTTCTGTTTGAACTTCATGTTCTTGTGTTTTATGTTCAATAAACTCAAACAAAAAGAGGGATTTCTCAGCTTTTTATTACATTTCTGCACTATGGGCTTTTTGTTGCATTGGTTTCACAACAGTGGTGAGTAAATATTGAGCAATGAAATGGACAACAACAATCAGAGACCACAACTTCAATTAACAGCCCGGGCTTTGATTTATTCCAGTCTATGAAATGACCCTGCCTTTATTCAGGACAGGAGTCAAATCCAGACAGGCCTTTAACAAACTCGTGCACAGCAAAGATAAGATTATTTACTATTTATGTAAATTTACACCAGAAAGAATATTCAACTGTGTAAACAAATCGTATATAGTTGAAGAATTAGGAATTAGAATTAGGAATCACTAATTTGATTTTGCTTTGTAAGACAGCCGATCCACGCCAACCTGCTGCACATCTTTATAGAATTTATTTTTTATCTGCAAACTTCTCCAACAATGAATGCAAAGCGGTCTCATCTGTCAAAAGGCCTTAACATCAGGACGGGCTTTTAGTTGAAGTTTTACGACAGTTGTTTGTTTCTTTTCTTTAAAAAAAAAAATAACAAGAAGGCAAACACTTGATGACAAAGATGGCTATGACAGCAACATCACAACTTCAGACTCACTATGGGGGGGGGGGGGGGGGTGATTTCTACGTCTAAATGTAAAATGTATAAATCGCTAATTTCAGTTTAGTGAAGCAGATTTTCACCAACTGATGTGTAAAAAAGTTTGATAAATAAAAGTTCAAGTTCAATAAATAGAAACACAAAGACGACAAAATTAATTTACAGGACAAATAAATAGAAATATCTGATGCAAAATAAAGTGCAATATCCTTAAATAACACAGAAAAACATGAAACAAGGAGGTAATGTCTAAAGACCTCTACGGACATGACACGTGGTTTGAATAAAGAGTGACAGTTCAGACTCATCTGGAGGGTCTAAGTGAGTCCACTGGCAGAGTTAGAATTCATGAAATGTTCAGACCAAGTCAAAGCTCACATCTTCACGTTGTTCTGGACTTCTGGTGACGTGTAATATTGTCCACAAGGGGGCAGTCTAAGACAAGTCTGCACAAACTAAACCCCGCGTTTAAAATGCTCTCAGCCTGTGTGTGTGTGTGTGTGTGTGTGTGTGTGTGTGTGTGTGTGTGTGTGTGTGTGTGTGTGTGTGTGTGTGTGTGTGTGTGTGTAGTCTAGACTACTTTGTCACATGAGAAGGGTGCTCAGTTTTGATAGAACCGGGCACTGTTGGATTGCATATTATTTTAAACATTTCACTGTAAACAAAACAAATAATCTTTAAATAAATAAAAAATCACTTTCCTCCACACGTGAAAAAGAAACCTCATCTGAATTCATAGAAAAAAGAAACGTGACTGTGTCGACTTCCATTTTTGTTCTTTACACACAAACAGCCTTAAAAAACATCATTGCACATTTCACTGTAATGAATGAAACAAACATTGAAACTGAAAGTGTTCGCTCGGCTTATTGCAAACCCTCGTGCTCTGTCGTCTCGAGCTTCAGTGTAAACGTAGAAATCTGGGACACCAAAAACAAACAAAGTGGCGTTATCCGCACATTGCATAGTGTCCCTGTGCAAGTTCACCTCATAATCCTCTTTCTGAAATTCAGCCCTTAAACAAAAAAACTCTCCCTCTTATTCCAATATCGGCAAACATTTTGGTGTCTTTGTCCAGTTTCTATCACCGCGACACGCCTCAACTCTTAACCAATGAGAATACAGTATGTGTGTTTGTTTTGAAAGATGGGACGTTGTGTGCAGGGGCGTGTCCAGAGGGGTGGCTTGGGCCCCCTTGAAATCTTATTGGCCACCCCAGGTGTCAACCCAAAATCCTTGACTATGATTGGATATTAGCCTTGCCAGAGGCGGGGCTTCAGGCTGTGTTGCATCAGGCAGCTCGTAGTTTTCAGTGTGCAGATGTTTGATTTTAAGGTTACATATTTTTAGGAGTTGATGTTATATTGTGTCTCCTAAAGGTCGATGTGATCCGTGCAGACAGAAAGGGTCAAACGCTCTTCATTCATGTGTGTGCACAAACTTCAGGCCACCCTGCACAAGTCGGGCCACCCCAGTCCAAAAAATCTGGACACGCCCCTGGTTATGTGTAAATAAAAACAGAATGTGATGATCTGCAAAACATTAAAACTAAAGACAGTGTGTGTCCATGGAGACATGAGCTAATCACACCTATTTGGTTTTTTTGAACCAGGCTGTAAACATGTTCATCTCTGCTGTAAAAACAGGCTTTTTAGAATGGGTGTGTATGTGACTTCCTGTGCTTCTGCAGCCAGCCTCTAGTGGACACTCCAGGAACTGCAGGATTTTACACTTCAGCATCGGCTTCATTTGTCAACATCGGAGGTTACTGCTCGGTTGAAACTGAGAAATGTCATTGTTTTTTGTTTTTTAAAGTTATAAATTGAATTTGAAGCAGACGACGTTGATCTCCTCGGTTCACTAAACGCTGACAGAGTTAACACGACCCTGTCCCAACTTTTTAGAAACCTGCTGCTGACATCAAACTCAAAATGAGCAAATCATTTACCAAAAACGACAACATTTCTCAGTTTCAGCAAAATGCAAATCATCACATCCTGCTTTTTTAAATTTGATGTTTAACACAACGTCCCAACTTTTCCAGAACGTTTTTTTTTGTCCGCTGAACGTAAATAAGTGAAATATGATTAATGCCCGTTGACGACAGATTCCTGCTCGTTTACACATTTTTTTAAACATTTGTTTGAAAAGTTGTTCACAGTGATCACTACCTTTAGGTCTGCTTTATAACTCTCCTTTTTTTTATATTCTTGAGTTTTTTACAGTGTCCAACATGCATGAAGACATTTTCTCTCTAAACACACGTTGATGAACACACAGGACATACACGAGCCTACATTATGAAACCATGAGCACACATCTTCTTCCTTCACATCTTGTTGACATGTCGTCATCTATTTGGTCTTTCTCTCTTCGGGCGTTCAAGCCCCTCCCTCCTCCCCATCTCGGTGAGAGTCATGATGATGATGTAGGATATGTCGGCGATGCTACAGTAGAAGGCATTACATGGGAGAGTTTGACTTTGTTATCACCAGTGATGCTTGGAGCCGCGGCTGTTCCCTTTCTCCGCCTGGTTCGCGCTCGCCGCTGCCGCCTGAGCTCCCCGGCGGCCGCCTCCAGACGGAGCCTCGGCTTTTCCCGCCGCGCCGCCTCGCTTCTCCTCGCTCGACTTGGAGTTGTCCTTCCCTTTGGCCCCTTCTTGCGACCCCCCCTTCATGGGCCCGAGGACCGTTTTGGCGACGCTGGTGAGCTGGGTGACGAAGCTGGCTTTGTCTCCCGGCGACATTGGGCGGGACTTTGTGGAGAAGGGGGACGCCGCGGTGGAGGAGGGGGACATCGGGTTCTCCTCCAGGACCTCCAGGTGGGCTCGCTCCTCTTTGGCCCCGCGGTAACCGCTCGAGACTTTCTCCGCTTTGGGTCTGACTGCAGCGTGGCCGTGGGACGGGACGGGAGGGGCCGGTCCTTTCACCTTGGTCGCCTCTGTTGGTTTATCCCCGCCCCCTCGCTCTCCTCTCTCTGGGGCTTTGCGCTGCTTGGACGTCTCTGCAGTCGA